GTTCGAAATTTTGTTTCTATAGTCTCCTGTGAGTCAAACATAATACAGTGCATCAGCTAAAGATCCAGAAATCATCATATAGTTTGGCATGTGAAATGCTGCAATCTGAGTTCACAATTAATTAAAGCTTTTCTACAATGAGAAACGCATTGGTATGACTTTGCCTTATTAATTTCAGTTCTAATGCTACATCTTTATCTCTGCAGACTATTTCTTGGAATAATTGTACTTCTTTGTTTTTATTTTAGCTTTTATTCCTTCAGAATGATTACCTCCAGTTTTGTGAGGCAGAAACGTACATAACAACCCCTTTTAAATTTCATTAAATGTATAGCATAAAGCCATGTCATCTAATATTTGGCTTACCTATCTTCTACATCTGTGTGTATGTGCATAGCACTACGTGCATTAGAAAAGGTAAATGCATGAACCAAGGTATGTGTATGGGAACTGTATTTTAGTTCCAAGCTAAATTAGAACCAAACAGGGATAGAAGTTACCTATAGCAATGAAAGTAACCCATCACATATTTAATCATGAACATAATGGCAAGCATAAAAAGGACTGTCTGTGAAATCAATGCAACCTATCAGGTGCTTTATAAATAGGTTTGCACTTAAATATTTTGCCCACTCATGGTTTCTCTGTGCATCATCATGGTACCACCTAGGTAAATCAATGCAGATTGATGGATGGAGGGTGGGTGCTTTCACCTCCCTCCCTCAAAATTAGCAGCATCACTGCCACGTGGCAATACATCAGGACTGTGCAGCTGTGCCTCCACCCTTGAGTCAGATCAGGGCTGCGTTTGCCTCTGGGTAATGTTAAATTTAGGGTTTTCATTTCAGGGCTACTCATCTTCACCTTGCAGACCTCTGAGCTGCAGTATATCATTCGCAGGCCAACACCCTTAGCACACAGGGGGGTATCCCTCGTGGCACACACTACTTTATAAATGAGACTGATATCTGAATGCGTCACATTTCAGTGAAGGAAAACAAACCTTATGGACTCTTTAAAGGCTGTGATAAATTAGAATGTGCACGGCACAAATATTTATCTTGCACCCTTATTACAAGTATTTCCTTTTCACTGGTTAATTTAATTAAGAGGTGTCCCACTGGACTAAAACTTTGTAAGATGGATATATTTCTCTCCAAGACATAATTCATTTTGAGTGAAAGGGGAAAACTCATAGCTCCTGAACTTATTAATAACGATCTGAATTAAAATACATTCCTGGCTTTCTTGAACACTTACGTATGTTAAGGGATAGCTGGGAGGGGAGACAACAGGGATTATTTTTGTTTTCATGAGAAGGACCTGATCCCAGAAACACTGTCAAACACATATGATGAGGAGTTAGTCACAATGATTTCTTTGGCAAGGCGAAAAGAAGCAGGAACAAAAACAACCTAACCCAACTTTCTGTCAGGGGTGGGGGGCCATCAAGGGAGCCAGTGTGGGATCATTCTTCTTCTGTCTTGAGACCCAGCATCCCACCTCACTCCAAGAAAAGCCTCACCACACTTGGGCAAGCTCTGCCTCTGAAGGAGACCAAGGACACAAGCAGGAGAAGTGATGAAGCATGCCTGGGACATCCCACAGCTCAGAGGTAGTCACTCTCATGCACAGCCCTAAGCTCTCTGTATGATCCCCAAGCAGGACCTTCCTCGTCTCCGTATGATCCAAGGCAGGGCACTGGCAACACACTGAGCTCCCACAAAGGCAAACCCTGCAGAGGACACCATCCTTGTCCAAGCTCACAACTTCTGGGCAAAGACAGCCCACTCTCCAAAGAAGTTACATGTGCTGCAGACCCAAAAATTATAAGGAGAAAAGGAAAAGATAAAGCCCATTGGAGAAGGTGCTATTTGGAGTTTTGGAAAGGCAGGATTTTGCTTTGACTCTGCTGTACTAGTTTCAGATGTGTCACTCCACTTCACTTCTTGGAATCCCTTCCCAATTTTTATCCAATCTATTTCAAGGGCAGTATCTGAGGGTTATGAATGGTCTCCTGTTGTGTTTCTGAAACAAGACCACAAAGCTTCTCTCAAAACCTTGCTAAAATACAAGCACTGCATAGGGACAATGACGAAATAGCAACTGTCTTTCCAAAATATCTGCTTTGCTTCTGCTCACAGAATAATTATTAGAATTATCCATTAGAAAGTTTGTTCTTAGCTCAGTCCCCAAACGTTTGTCATTTCGTTTCCTTTTTAGAGGAGTTTTTTTTTTTTTTTTTAAATCAGTTTTGAGTATTGGGTCAATACTTCTATCATTTTGTTTCATTACAGAGACCATCAATGTACTACTAGCAGATACATTAAAAACAAATAAACAAAGAAGGGGTATCACTGCCAGCAGAAAAGTGCATTGAATCATTGCTAGAAGTTTAAGCAAAGAGGTTTCTTTGAACATCATTTCAATCCGTATTGATGCTGTTTCAATTTTGCAGCAGCAGCACCCGCAGAAACCTCTCTGCTACTTTAAAACCATTGGTAAGACTCAAGCCAGAGTGTTTGATCAGTGCCAGCTCTTACATCAGTGACTGGCACCCCTTCATGGTTCACACATCCCACTTTAAGAGAACAATTACAGCTGTGCTATGACTTGAATGACAAAGAAACGAACTTGAAGATGTTTCTGTAGCAACTACAAGCAAGTTTTACTGTCAGTCCAACTTACAGCAACAGACTTTGAATCAAAAGTTAAAAACACTCACTGTAATCTTTACAGTTGAATGACAAGTGCTGCCTGGCAGAAGCACAACTAGCACCTTGCTAACAACATGAGCATTCACCTTGTACGGATGACCACTGATGTCACTCTGGGTGAGGAACAGCAATGGCTAGTCCTAACTGAGAGATAGTCAATATCAAGAGGTAGCCCCCAAAATAAAATCCAAATAAGTTTAATTTCATGATTGTTAAAAGAAAATCAGTGCTGACCATCCATTTGTCCCCATCTTTCTGGTCCTTCTCAGTACAGAGCTGGTACAATTTTAGCATTTGCTGTTCAGTGAGTTTCCTTCAGCCATCTGACATGCACAGGCTGCCTTGAAACAGAAGCTGTGAGCTCTCAGTGGGTAAATGCAAGTTTACTTGCTGAAGTAAGTGTAATGATCTCAATGTAGTGAGTCTTTCCTAGTTGTTCTTATCCTTCCTAAAACAGCCCCACTCTCAGAAGCACTGTGCCCCGGTGCAGCCCACATTTGCTCTTGGCAGGACTCCAAGACAGACTTTTCTCCTTTACGTACTACAGTAAGCAGTTACAGTGAGTGATGTTAACAGGATGGAGAAGAAGTGACAGTCCCATTACTAACCTAATAAACCCATTTACCACCATTGTTTTAATCAGTGCATTCCAGTCTACTGCACAAAGCCAACAATTTTTCCTGAAGCCTGCATTGTTATTTGCCAGAAGGGCAGTAACAATTTCCCTCAAAGATGCATCTCACACTCAGATTTACAGTTTACCTCCTGCAATACGAGAGGCCTTTGGCACACTGAGGCAGAGATACCTCGAATGCCAAAAGGGATATTTTTATGAAAAGAATGTGGAGGAGGGAAGCATCCCTCAGCAGTCACACATTGGCAGTGCAGCTCTTGCTCCACTGGCTGGGTGCTAATACTCATTCCTTCGATAGCTCTCCAGGTGCCACCAATAATAAAAGTTCAGGCAGGGCTTTGCAGAGCAGGGCTGAGGGGATGCCATTTGCATCAAATGCAAAACCTCCTCTACTCCAGGATGGAACAGGTACCACAATCAAGATCATTTCTTCCAGACTGTATGGGGCTTTCCTTCAGCCTCTTCCCTTGCTGAGAGCCAGGGCACTGCTCCTCCTGGCAGGAGCTGATCCAGTTTAAAGGCTCGGCTGCTGCAGCTGTGGCACATGGAGAACTGAGGATTTTGTATACAACGGTAGAAAAGCAGAAAAACAATTTCCCTTTCCCTTAAAGTATAACTAAACCCTGCTCCCACAGAAGCGAGTGGCAACCACAGCAATGCTGGTTCAGGTGCTTTGTGGTCATTTGCCTCTTAAAAGGAGTTTTGCTTCATTAGGATGTCAAGCTTTACATTTCCTTCAGGTGTTGAGTTGTCTTCAGAATGTGGTTGCCATTAGGATCCAAAAGGGGCATCCCCAAAACTAAAGAGAGGCCATGGAACTCTGCTAAGCATTACATGTGAGCACAGAACGAATGCACAGGCATGTTCTTGAGGAGTGCACCCCTCTGCAACACTGCTGATATTGAAACTCCATACTACACGGTGAAGTAGGAAGGCTTGTGAAACGCTAACAGCCTGAAGCCCAGCGGAGACCATTGCTCATACTGATCATAGTTTTGCAGAAAAGCAAAGAAAAGAGATTTCCTGGGATCCCAAAGGCCAAGCCCTTTGTAGGCATGAGGGTTATGGAGCCAACCACCAAGAGAGGAAAGGCGTGAATCTCAACAGCCGCCTGAGTTGTTTCCTCTGGAAATAGGCTCCCATACAAGTGGCAAAACAGAAGAAATAATGCAACAGTGAAACAAGTTGAAAACGTATTTCATCCTCATGATAGAATCATAGAACTGCTCAGGTTGGAAAAGACCTTCAAGTTCATCAAGTCCAACCACAACCTGACCATACTACCCTAACTCTAACAACCCTCCACTAAATCATGTCCCTGAGCATCACATCCAAAGGATTTTTAAGCACATCCAGGGATGATGACTCAACCACCTCCTCGGGGAGCCTATTCCAGCGCTTAACAACCATTTCTATAAACAAGTTCTTCCTCATATCCAACCTAAATCTCCCCTGGAGCAACTTGAGGCCATTTCCCCTCATCATGTCACCTGTCACTAGTGAGAAGAAAGTGAGTGAATGAGACTCTCACTGTAATCACTTTTCAGGTATTTGAAGAGAGCAATAATGTCTCCCAGTGATGCATTATTGAATGCAAGACCGGTTGGTATACTGCATACCTCTGGCATTTCATGTCCACTAGAACATACTCGAGGGCAAAAGCTTTATTTTGATGCATTCAGACAATATGATTTCAATAACACAGGAAGAAATGTCCTTCAGCAGGAAAATTAGGGAACAGATAAATGTGGTTCATTGTGTAACTGTTTGCCAAACAGAACGGCACCCTACCACGCTGCAAAATAAAGCTCTTTTAGACAAAAAAAAATGTTTTTTTTTTGCAAATGGCTTAATTAATAATTTTCCTCAGCTGAAGAAGGAAAGAGCCTTGAGCTACAATAGCTCTGCTTGCACTAACCTCCAGGCACAAAGGCGTCCTCTCCCAGAATTCATTTAGCTGTCAAAATGGGGGAAAATAATGCCAGAAGAGAAGTTCAAAAATGGTGAGTCCAGGCACTTTAATGCTGCTTTTCCTTTAAAAACAAAATAATAATGCTAATATAAAAGTACAGTGAAAGCTAACTCCACAGAAGATATCTCCAAAAGGGAGAGACGGGGTGAGGCTACCACCAGTGCTTTTATGCACAATCCTTTCATGTAAATTATTTCCAATGGGAGCTCTTTCTCTTGCCTGCGGACAAAAGCAGAATGCATCGCTCTTGCCAGACCACCTGGGACATGGGGAGGATAGGAAATTTCCAGATGGGTTTTAAGACAATTCAGTTATATTTATACAGCCAGAATAAATGTTTTTTTTCTGAGATAGCATTTCCCTTTGCTCTATCTAGACCACCAAGAGAAGAGGGAGGCACAGAAATTCTATTGCATTAATAGTCTTGGTGTTTACAGTTTTGATTTTTATTAACTTGTGGGAGCTGTTTATTGAGTCATAAACTCTACTAATGGGGATATTATCTCCAAATTATATAAGTACTGTAGCATTTAGGTTAGTTAAAAGAAAGGTTTAAAACAGTTACGTATTTACAGTTTATCTCAATCACCAACATGATCCCATAATGGGAATTTAATTGCTAATTGCTAGCTTATATTGCAAAAGAACTACAATAACAACAGACAATATATAGCCTGCATAAACATGTCCAGACAATTCTATATTGCCTCCTTTCACTGCTACCTTCTCATCTGGTGGGGATTTTTTTATTACAGTGATTTAATTCCTAACTGACTCAAATGAGGAAACTGTCTTTGTCAGTAAGCGTTCCCACCAGTGCTTCATTTGACTGATTTTAGCAAGCCTTCTGCACACACTTCAATATCTTTATACAAAAGGGACAGACTTACACATACACTTAAATGCTTTGCTAAAGCAGATTCTCAGAGAGCTCTAATAGGAGAAATCCAGGTTCCGTTTACATCCACCCAAGTTTTTATGTTTGCCTAGCTGGAATTTGACCAAAACCCACCATCCCAAGCCTGAACCAAGCTGTGGGCAGCGAGATCAGGTGAAGCATAGCCATCAGTCTAAAATACAGAACAGCCCAAAGGATGGATCACATGCGTATTAAGGATATGGGTTCATGACCTGCCCAGCTCAACCTGGACCATCCTCAGCCCTCCCACACATACCACTGTCACTGCACTGCGGCCACGTAGCGCCACCATGCCTGGTGACAGCATTCCTCTAATTGTGTTGATCTACACCCAAGGAAGGAATTAATCTCACCTAACAGCAACACAGCCATTTGCACCTAGCTGTCAGTGTAAGAAAGGGGCTGTTAAGATAAAATGCTTCCAATGGACATCCCTGTGGGCAAGTCAGTGCCTCCTACCCTTCCACTGGCAAGTAAGGAATCAGGAGAGCTACAGCACATTGGCACTGGAGACAGCAGAAGAGAAAGAGGGTATGCTTCACACTAATACAGAGAAGGCTGCATCCCATCCGCTGTAGCCACTCTGCAAAAGGTCTTCCTTTTGGCTTTCAGGACAGTGACCTTCTTCCAACTGATTTTTTTGAAAGTGGGAGCTCTCTCAAGCACTATTAAGCTGTGCAATTAATTTAGGCGGTTACAGATCATCCTCCCATGCTGCCTGTCTGGGATCAGAATCAGATAAGTTGAATCAGCTCCTTCACTTCTCTTTGACTGTAGGTCTTAATATGAAACTAGCCTGTTGGAGGAAGAGAGCAAAGAGGATAGATGGCCTGTCAGAAGGGCAGACCAGGACAGCTAGCTTATTTATGCACAATACATGCCAGGAAAAACTTCCAGATGATTCAGAAATACTCAAATGTGCAGAGAAAGAGTTTATATAAAAATCTATATCTTTAATAAACTGTGCCTGTATTAACTTCCTCTTCTTGATTATACTCCCTCACTGGATTTAAACTTTACATTGGAAACTGGTAGGGACAGGGATGTGCCCCCACAGCCCTTTCTGGGTTGTCTGGTCATTGCCTGGAAAGAGTTCAGCTTCCACCTGGGCCTTAGTAACCAACTGATACAAACAACATTAAGAAATTAATTCAGAGAAAATTGCAATTTAAGGAAGTGTTTGATTTTTTTTTTTTTCCAGGATAGTTCTAAAATTCCTTTAAAATTCTGACCTCCAAAACCTAAAAATGATTTTTAAAATCAGACTGAGCTCAGAGTGTAGTATTTTCTTCCTCCTGGTAATTGTAACTTCTTTCTAAACATGTTATTGCTTTTTCTTTCTCATTGCCCTTGGGCTTTCTGTACTTGCACCTGAGCCAGAAGAGAAGAGCTAAGCCACCTCAAGAGGAAGAAACATGTATGCAATGGATACACTACTGTGGAGGGTACAGGACATTATTGCTTAAAGAACTAATGCATCTCTCCACATCACTGAATAACCTTTATCTGAGTATAAGATGTTGAAACACAGGTCATTTTTTCTAATTGTTAATTGCTGCTCTCAAACCATGGGGACATGCAGAAGGGTCCAGCAAGCAAGAGGCAAAAAATTATTATTAGCTGTATAAGGATTGCTGTTCTCTGACTGCTGCCAAGTGACTGAAAACTTCTGTTATTTATTTTCTTTTGTTTTTGTGGAATTAGGATCCCTGCAGTTTGCCCACGGAAAATGAGCAACAAAACTGTATCCTGTGCTAAGGCACAGAGTGGACTTGGGATTCAACAGCCTAGGTTTTTTTTTCTGTGAAGAGCTTTCCTGCTGTGAAGTAGGATTAATTCCCATCAACACAAGGAACAAATGCAGAAGGAAGCTTTCAACATCTTCTCATTTATGTAAATGAAAAAGACTTGATCTGTCTGACATTGGCACAAATGGCTCTACCTAGGAAAATACAGCAAAGGCAGGACGCAGAAAAATATTACCTGGAGGAACTTTATTTTTCTCAGCAGTAAGTTCAATCGTCTGTGACTGCTTGAGCCTACCACGTTTGTGGGAGCCTGCCTGCAGATGAGCAGAGCAAGTACTTAACTGGACACAGGCAAAAATGGACGCAAAGTTGCAAGCTAAGCGGTGCACCATCTGCACGCAAGGATAGATCCTCACTGCTGTTCTTGCTGCAGCAGCTATTGCAGAAAACTTTAAGCCTTCTATTCTCAAATGCCAAGTTCAGGAAATGAAAATTAACACTGAACGCACAGCAGACCCCAGCAGGGAGAAGGGGAGGCAGTACTGTAATGTGAATCTCTTCGCTCCTGCCATGGAAGGCTCAGATACTTGTGGAAAGAAGATATCTTTGGCTCCCCTACAGAGATAGAGAGCTGAGATTAATGGCAACTGTGAGGGCTGCTTTCTCTTTATGCAATGCATGCTTTAAAGCTGTGGCCTCCTGCCATCTTGAAACATTATCTTGTGGTATTGTCTTCATTCAGGTCCCCCATCAGCAATGTGAAAAGAGAGAAGCTGGTGGCAGGATTAGAGGAGAGGTTGAAATATCCTGGGCAGCATACGCTGCAAGTCACAGTATACAAAGAGTATTCTTGGACTGCTCATTGGCTGGAGCTTTTCCTTCTGGAAGCGCTGCTGCTTGTAAAAAATAAAACCTTTTGAAATGTGTTTACAACACAGCAGACCACAGCATATGACACACTGTGAGCGCAGTGACAAGCACTGAAAATATTTTTCAGTCCCTGTCTGCTCTGCTCCTGGGAGATCCTTTTGTGCTCAGTGGAGTTATGAGTAATACATGGAAAAAAGGAGAAAAAGAAGTGGGAAGCAAAACTCAGAATGGTGTGAACAAAATATGCAGAGTACCAATAGGAAATACTGAAACATCAGAAATCAGATAATTCCATATTACTTTTAAAAGAAAAAAAATCCTCATTCCATGGGCTCTGCAGAGGGGGAATCATTCAATACCAGAAATAGTCCTCAGTATCACAGGCAATATATCCTAAAATTACACTTATCAGATGATCCATCTTTAATGGTAAAATTAACTGGGTTCTTTGCTCTTGGAAGCCTGTTATGGACCCTTTTTGTTTTAGAAGGTTGGAAACCATCTTTTACTGTCCAGTTTAAATTTATGGCTAACCATACCTACTTTTTCTGAATGTTTTGAACTGAATGATTATTTTCCTTGCTTGTATTACATACCCATAACAAATTCTCTAATGGCAACCACATTCTCCTGGAGCCTGCATTTTGTTTCCCTAAATAAGCCACACTTCTTCTGTCTTCTTCATTTCTGTTCTCTTGGCCACTTTTCTAGTTCTTCTCTGCACAGGATCCAGTTTGCAGTCACCATTCTCGACCATGACCAGACCATGATTGATCAGATCTACAAATGGGATTGTACACAAAATGGTATGACATTTGTTATGCTTTTGTTTGTTTGTTTTTTAACCTTTTTCCTTTTCATATAAAGGAAATTTCCTGTCTCTAAAAGCTACTTGGGAAGTTTTAAATGTTCAAATTCAACCTTCGGAAACTCTCTTCCTTCAAAATTGTCATCTGTACAAGATCTCAACAACTGAAAGATATCCTGATGAAGACTGGGCACATTAAAAAGTTATGAGGGCAACTGTATTCATTTAAAGTGCCAAACCCAGTTTTGCTGCCATGTTTAAAAAGCTTCAGCTTTTATCAAACGGTTCCAAATGCAATCTGTTACTGTTTTGGCTCCTGACACAATCCCCACAATGAGATAATTTTCTTGTCATGTAAGAAACTATTTTCTTCTTTTGGAATAAAACATAGTACATAGTCTTGTCTACAATTTTGAGTACTTCAATAAGTTTAAAAAAACTCAAATTATTCTTTGAACTACTGTTTTTCTCTCAGTCTGGGAATTTTAAAATGCTTAATTCTCATCCTTTTGCATCAAGCTTTCTCATCAAATTGCAATTTTGGATTACAGAATGCACAGGGTTCTCAGTCTACTGACTGTGTGAGCTTCTCAGCAGCAGACTCACACCAAATCCCTTCACCATAGAGTCACTGTGGATGAGTCAGCTCCTCCCTTTACCACAGCTCTTGCATCCTTTAAATAGAAGTAATTCCTTTTCTCACAAACTCATACATTAAGTTGAGATCTAACCGTGGCTTTGAGCTGACACAAGCTTAAAAATACAAAAAGGCTAACAGGAGCTCCACTTAGTTACCACCATTTTGAACAAAGAGAAAGGTATCAATTTTCAAAGGACAAGTTCAGTGCCACAATAAGAAAGAAGTTCACTAAGATGGAACCAGAATATCTTTTCTTCATTCATGCCTTACCTGAGTAAAACTGAGCACTTACCAATCTGAGTTGCATCTAAAACAAAAACCAAGAGTTGATAGCTTTTGTACATGGCCTGCAAGAAATTTACTTCTATGTTACAAGGTTATAATTATCACCCACACCAGAGCAAACTGACATTGTTCTAAAATCTTGCAACTACTTCCTCTGTAAAATAACAAACTTCGACACGCATAGCACTTAAGTATTACTATATGGGTATAGCAAAAAAACAGACAGAAGATAAAAAGCAACAGACGAAGTGTAAAGAGAATTATCTTACTGAGCCAATTCTATCTGACTTAATATTACAAGAGGTCATCCAACAACATCCTCTGTCAGCAGAACAAAGTAAGGTCAGTCTGATTTTGCTGTATTTGACTCAAGCAATTGCTGCTGCTTGTACATTCTCCATCTGACCATCTGATTATAGTTTTAATTGTGCTCACATAAGCATTAAAGAGTACTGTTGATTTAGGAGTTAAAAAAACACAAAGTACATATATATGCTTAAGTAAGAAATGTAATAAAACCTGCATCTGTCTTCTTTTTGTTTAACCTGACAGGTCTTCAATATCTAAGTTAGTGTTGGAGCAGAAACACTAATACAAAAACAGTGACTTTCACAGTTTGGATCATTCTTCTTTGCCAAACAGGTCATCCAGGAGAAGCAAGTATTTGATTCTTTTCACGGGAAGGAATGGTGGCTGTCCGTTCCAGTCATCTTCATTCTGAAATTAGTAACACAGAGAGTATCTTAGAATATAATGTTGGACACAGCAATAACTAAAAGCTGGCCAACTAAGATTGTATGTGCTGCTTCACTTCTTCATACAAATATTTTGTGAACATGTGGACCTTTACATAGCACATCCTCTTAAAACATTATTACATGAACATTTTTAACAAGCTTGCAGAATATTTTATTAAATGTGTTTTCTGTCATTCAGCCTTTTGCAGATATTTCAAATTAAGTAATGCTATCTGTTCTTCGTTAAGACACTTATATTTGAAAACCTTACAAGTTATCTACGATTCAATACTAAAAACCACACCAAAGAAAAATGAAGAAAAAAACCACAACACTGCTGCTAAAATCTATCTGTGAAATACAGACATTATAACCTGAAGATATCAATGTTAATCCAAAGTAAGTAATGAAAAGAGTGTCTAACGGATTCCAAAGCTGAAAAATTTAACAAGACTCAAATCCTTTCTTTCACTGATCTTTTCCTGATCTGCTTTATTACCTCCTCATTAAAATATACATAGTACCACCACTGCTTGCACACCAGCTTCACCCCATAGGAGCCCTCTCTTTCCCTCCCCTGCCGGAAAGCAAGTCTTGCTCAATGGCTAGATAAGCCATACAGCTGTGAGGAAAAAACAGTCAAACACATTAAACAGAAAGTGTATCTATGTGTCTGCTTATTTTAGTCTCGATTTTTTATGAAGCTTAGCACCACCTCCAAGGCAAAAATCCTCCCGGCACAGGCTCTGACTTTCTTTCATTAGCACAGTACCAAGGCCCTTGAGTCCCCTTATACCCTGGCAGACTCTCCTGAAAGCGAGCACTATTTAAATATCAAAATAGCTTAAAAACATAATTATTCTGTGAAAAAAAAATACCCACAGAATACAACCTACTCCATAGGCACAGGATTGCTATAGAAAACACATGGAAGTACTTTTTTTCTCTACAAGAAAGAAAAATACTTCCCAATCAGAAAGTGAAAAATAGACCACTACGGAAGGCAGAGTAAAGCAGCATTGCAGGGCCCTGGTTAGACAATATAGAGTTTGGGATGCTATAGAAAGAAGAGCTTGTAAGCCAAGGAAGAGAGAGAAGCCAAGTTAATAGCATAGTACGTGAGGAACATTGATTTAAAATATGTCACTGTTGAACTGAAATGTAAGGGAATGCTGTGTTACTAAGTGATCTGAATAAAATCAAACACATTCTGTACAAGTGTAGCAACACATGGGCTAGGCCAGAATAGAAAAACTACATTTTGGCAGAAGGGCTTCATATTTATCTGTTACAAGATAAAAAAAAAAAAAAAAAAAAAATCAGTATAATTGCCTTATGTACCATCTATTTTAAAATGTTCCATTCAGCACAAGATGGCAAGATCAGATTAATTTCTGCAGTTTGTTGATGCCACATATTTATTTACCCTAAGTAGCAGGCTGGTAGAGATATACAAAGTTGATTCTTCAATACTGATTCTGCCTATGCCTACCAGTGATGTGCTGTTACATACAAGTTTCCACAGAGTTATAAAATATATATATATAGCTATTTTCTGTGGTGACAGTGGAGTTTAAAGAATTTCCTGGCTATCCCAGAAGACAAACAGAGCATTTGACATGTTGCAACAATACTTGTGGGTGGAGTGGTATTCACACCTATTGTTCAAGGACAACTACACTTGTTTCCCCACTCTTTTTTTTTTTTTTTTCTTCCAGAAAAACATCACAGAGATGTAGCACGCTGTAGGCAAGACTGTGTTACAGGCTTTGTCTTCCCTGTGTAACTCTTTTTGGTTAATTCTAAACAGAATTAATTTGAACTGAATTTGGTTAATTCTAAGCCTGGAAAGAAAAATACATTACATGAAGACACAAAAATGAAAACAGGCCCAAATATGAAAAATTGAAAACTGTTGTAGTCTTTGTTGGATGAGGTACTCGCATTACACTTGCCCAAATTACACAAGTGTCTCATGTGCTGAGTTTTAACTTTTCTTTTGCTCAAATATAATGGTTTTACCTGAGGAGGAAGCTTTATTGTCTGGAAAGCAGGGATTTGATTCTCTCTCCAGTTCACTGCATCCACAAACTTTTTATATTCCACTTGCTTATGGTCATCTTCAAACCTAAGTAGGATATCCATAAGATGCCTCATGATTAAATGAAAATTTTAACAAGTATATAATATTATCTACATCATACTAATGTTATCTACATCATACTAATGCACTATTTGCTGGATAATTGCTTTTCAGTCCTTTACAACCAAACACTGGTGAGAGAACAGAAAAATGCTGCATAACTTCTATATCACACGTTACATTCCATTTACTTAGTGCACATCAATGTCTCTCATACAATTTTTTTAAGGTTCATTAGATTCCAAGTAATTTTGTTTTACTTTTTAACCATTGCCCAACTTCTTCCAACACTGGGATCTCACAATTGGTGATAAATAGATTTGGGAAAGTCAGTGTATAATTTTTTTGTAGAGAAAAGAAACAGCTAGAAATATACATTGGAAAACATGTCCAAATAGAGCGGATATTGGAAAATACAGGCTGGGTGGAGAATGGTTTGAAAGCAGCCCTGAAGAGAAGGATTTGGGGGGGGTCTGTTAATAAGAACTCAAGATGAGTTGGCATTGTGTACTTGCAGCCCAGAAGGCCAACTGTAGCCTGGGTTGCATCAAGAGAAGCGTGACCAGCAGGCTGAGGGAGGTGATTCTGCCTCTCTACTCTGCTCCTGTGAGACCCTAGCTTTAAACTGGAAGAGGGCAGACTTATACTAGATATTAGGAAGAAATTTACTATGAGGGTGGTCAGACAATGGAACAGGTTGCCCACTGAGGCAACTCCCTGGAAGCACTCAAGCCCAGGCTGGATGGGGCTCTGAGCAACCTGGTCTAACAGGAGGTGTTCCTGCCTATAGCAGTGGGTTGGAACTAGATGATCTTGAAGATCACTTCCAGCCTAAAACATTCTGTGATTCTTTAACACAAGAGAGTTGTACTATAACACAAGTGACCTGCTTTATACAGTTTCTCAGTCACTTCCTGAAAACAAGCAATGCCTTAAAAATGCTTTTTGCATAAACCTTGGAATCAGTTTCCAGTTAACAAACATGCAGCTCTCTAGCCTACCATTTAATAACCAGATTTTAAAATTTCAACTCATTTCATTTGGTAATAATTTATTTCCATGAAGTAAATATTTGTAATATTTAGCATCTGTTACATGGAGATATAAACCTTACCAGTTAAGTTCTACAGTTACTACTGCACGTTAACATAAACTTACTAGGAGCAGATCTGTAAGCCATGCCATTGATTTGTACGAAGTGGCTTCAGAAAAATAAAAAAAGAAAAAAAATGTACTCAATTTGGCAAAACACTTAGGTGCTTAATGCATAGAGAAATCCAATTGTTTCAGTGGGTTCAGTCAAATGTTTGAAAGATACTGCAGGCTGAAGTTCATTGCAGAATTGATGCTACAAACACAGATTGCTTTTGAAATCATAGAATGGACTGGATTGAAAAGGACCAAAATGATCACTGAGTTTTTAACTCACTGCTATGTGGAGGGTCACCAACCACCAGACCAGGCTGCCCAGAGCCACATCCAGCCTAGCCTTGAATGCCCACAGGGATTGTACAGAAATGAAGTTAACTGCTCTACTATACTTACTATACATACTACATTAGGATGTGAATGGCATCTGTCTTACCTAGCACTACTTCAGTGTAAAAGGGATCTGGCTTAGGCAGATTAAGCACATCCTGAAAGCATCTGTGCTTTGCTAGTGTCCACAGAGAAATATATATGACTAGATAGACTCAATAAGCTATTTTTGGTGGAAACATCAGGTTAAACAATTCTACCATGTAACATGGTGAGACAAATATTATTGCATGTGTAGGAGCAAGATGACACACTGTCATCTCCCGGAAACAATTTCTTTAGACAACCATTTTATTTTGTTCTTAAAGAAATAGCATTGCACAAAACATGGGCCTCAAAACCCTTCAGTTCTCCAAACCACTGAAAGGGCCCTCGTAAAAATAAAGAATGAAGGTACTTGAAGGATGACTTTACAGCATAAGCTGGGAAAACAATACTGGAAGAGAAATAAATCTAGCGACAAAAATAAACTGCAACTCATCCTCTTCCTCTCCTCCCCCCATGCCTTTCATTTAACAGTCAGCAGATAATATAAAATATACTGAAAGTCATGAACAGAGATTCTAGTGATAAACTGAAATGTTAAGTACAGTGCGTTACACGGAAGATGAAAGCAAAGTCAGAGAAGAATGCTACTGTTACTGACATTAAAGATGAGTCTGAAACATTGCCAGGAGAAACCCCCCCATTATAGCTTTGGTTTGGTTTAGGTTGGGTTTTTTGCAGGTGGTAACTGGGGAAACAAAAGAGTTTTGTATTGGGAGTAACAAGACAAAAAACTCTTGGAAATAAAACCGTGGCAAATATTTTGAATCTCAGAACAACCATTAATTTTTTCTTTAATTTTTTTTTTACTATCATATGTACTAGCATGTATCTATTAAGCTTTTTCTATTTCTGAAAATTCAGAATATAAGGTTACTATCAAGATGCAGAGCTGCATAAGTAGGAATTTTAAGTGAAGTTTAAGAGAGGGGGTGTCGTTTCTTCAGCATCTATTTTATGTTGATGCAATGAAATTAAGGAAAAACATTAGTTCTGCTTTCAGCAAGCATTACAAAGGAGAAAACTCCTTTGAACTGACAGCATGAGCAAGCTGAGCAACACCACACACATGAAGTCAACTATAGTTTTAAGGTGGGCATGGGAAATGGGACTACTAAGTCCCATGTTTTAAAAGCTGCAGAAAGCAGCTTCAAATATCACTCTAGACTAATCCAGAGGAAATAATCTACTTTTTACATCTTTTTACTACTGTGACTTATTGCACCAATCTACTAAATGCACATACTTGTAATTCAGTACAGAACATCCAGATGGAATGAAGAGATGTTATCAAGTTCTGCATTATTAGGACAGAGATGCCATACATTTCAGAGCCGGAATTAATATGACTGAAACTGACAGTGCTTTTCAGTGAGGAAATTAGATTTGTCTTATCAAGAAGATACAACAAAGATCTCTTGAATCTGTTTCTCTCTGGTTTTGCCCGATGACTTAAACAATCTATGTGATTTTAGATTGTGTAAGTCATTTCCCCAACCCCAACAATGTCTGCAGAGTTTTTTTTTCTCCTACAGCACAATCGTAGAATAGAATCATAGAATCATTAAGGTTGGAAAAGACCTCTAAGATCATCTAGTCCAACAATCCATTTATGACCACTAAACTATGTCTCTCAGGGCGATATCAACATGGTACTTGAACACCTTCATCACCTCCCTGGGCAGCCTGTTTCAATGCCTCATTACTTCTTTGGAGAAGTTTTTTCAAATATGCAACCTGAGCCTCCCCTAGCACAACATGAGGCCATTCCCTCTTGTCCTGTTGCTAGCTACTCTCTTTCACATCATAGAAAAAAATCACATATTTCTGCTTATAAAAGTATATTTATAATGAAAAACTCCAGCTATGTTAAAAAAACAGTTAAATTACATGATGGTTATTTCTGAGGCTGCTTTCGTGAGTAAAGGCTACTAATGAATATGTTTTCTTTCCCATCAAGAAATCTGCAACCAAAAATTCATAATAAATGCTAATGTACATGTAAAGATTTCGTATGCTTTTACTTTTAATAGCATTTATTAAGTAGTTTTATCTGATACTAGCAGAGAAGAGGCATTATGCTGTTTTAAGCTTTAAAAAAAAAAAAACTGGGATTCTTCAGCTACTTGACGATCCCTGTGTAACACAATATACACCTAAATTTTCAAAAATAGCTTATACAAAAAGTTTTAAGGTAGTAAGCACAGATGCAGCTGATCAGTGTTAGCTAAGAAAGGCTGCTATCTTGGATATACATTTATTCTCGTCTTGAACTACAATAAATTGAACCGTCAGTTCTTCATGATAACAAATAACAGAAATAATTTCTCTTAAGAGATCCATATATTCATGCTGGAGTCTTTTCATAATAAACAGCCAAGTGAGTTTTGGGTATTAAAGGTAACAAGCAGAAACAGAGTGCAGGAGAATGATTTCATGACCATTTCCAATCATGGTGCTGCCACCAGGACACATCTCACAGCAAGAAAAGACAGTTGGTTAGCTTTCTAAGTGAAGCAGGTCAAGTGTAAACAAACTATTAGAGGCAGGTGATTATGTTAAAGAAAAAGATACTGTACAAACCAGGGAAATGCCAGGCAGACAGAAGAGGCTTGATCTGTTAGTGGCATGAGAACCGGGGTGGTCAACTAGGAGGCTCATTGTAAGTTGCATCAAGTAGCACTGCTACCTGAGGCACTAAAGATTAATTTACCTATTAAAAAAAAAAAAAATTCACTTCTGTCCCACTGCTTGTGCTTCCACAGCTTAAAATCCACACATGTTCCTCCAGAGTCCAATAGACTCAGTCTAGCACTGCAGAGAAAAGAACTATGCAGCCAATTTTAAGCAAAATTAAAAGATATTTTAAAAATAGGGACATACGCTTAGCTAAACAAGATCATTGACAAGTAAACGCCATCCGTTTCTTTTTCCCACCTGTCAGGTGGGAAACCAGGCGTGGCCCGAGCCCGGCCCGGCGGCGCTGCGCGGTCAGGGCGCACTGAGCGCAGTCCGCCCCGGTCGGGAACAGCGGCGCCGGGGGCCGGCGGGCCCGTCCCCTGAACAGGTGCCCGGGGTCCGCGGCATCAGCGAAATAACCATCAGGTAGACCGAGCTGCCAGAATTGAGGTGGCTCAAATAGACCTGGACTGGCAGAACAAGGGTGAGTTATTTTTAGCTCGGTGGGCCCATGAGACCTCAGGTCATCAAGGGAGAGACGCAACATACAAATGGGCCAGAGACCGAGGGGTGGACTTAACTATGGATGCCATTGTACAAATCATTCATGACTGTGATACATGCGCCACCATTAAACAAGCTAAGAGGATGAAACCTCTCTGGGAGGAAGGGCGATGGCAAAAGTACAAATATGGGAAGGCATGGCAGGTTGATTATATCACCTTGCCACGATCTCGCAATGGTAAGCATTATGTGCTCACCATGGTGGAGGCAACAACCGGGTGGCTTGAAACATATGCAGTACCCCATGCTACCGCCCGAAACACCATATTAGGTCTGGAGAGGCAAATCCTGTGGCGACATGGCACCCCAGAAAGGATTGAGTCAGATAATGGGACTCATTTTAAAAATTCACTTGTGGATACTTGGGCCAGAGAACATGGCATCGAGTGGATTTATCATATCCCCTATCATGCACCAGCCTCTGGTAAGATCGAATGCTACAACGGGTTGTTAAAAACGATGTTGAAAGCAATGGGTGGCGGAACATTTAAACACTGGGAGAAGCATTTGGCAGAAGCCACCTGGCTGGTTAACACCAGAGGATCAATCAGTCGAGATGGTCCTACCCAATCCAGCTCCCTACATATTGTAGAGGGAGATAAGGTCCCTGTTGTACATGTAAAGAACATGTTAGGAAAAGCAGTTTGGGTTTTTTCCTGCTTCTGGGAAGGGCAAACCTCTTCGCGGAACTGTCTTTGCCCAGGACCTGGGTCCACCTGGTGGGTGATGCAGAAAAACGGGGATGTTCAGTGTGTACCACAAGGGAATTTGATGTTGGGGGAGTGCAGTCTGTAATCCCACGTGTTAAGCATGATGTAGTGATGTAGAATAAGGGGTGGAATGTCATGGTTTTATGATTTTTGGTCATCAGTATTCCACACCATAACATCATGTAATGCACTGGGGGTGGGGTTTGATATCTGCCGAATGTTCGTCCGTCGGAGAAGAACTACATTTCCCCAGGAGACTTTGCGGTCAGCAAGGGGATATAACTCCAAGCAAGGTCACCTGATCCTTCTTCGCCGCCTGCGCTTCGCCATCTGCACTTCACCGTCTGTACTTCAGTCGCTCAACTGGACTGCACTTCTCACCCCAGCATTGTGGTGAGGTCTATACAATTCAGACAGACTCTCTCTCTCTCTCTCTCTCTCTCATTGTATTTTACTAATACTATATTTAGTAAAATCATTTGTTCCACCTCAGATCAGTGCTGTTGTTTTCAAGTATTTTGGGGTCCCCTGCTTCCCCTTTCCCAGAGGCGCGGATCCGCAGATCCCTCTGCCCTGCTGGTCACAGAACTGGGCCGGACCAGCCCATAAACCGTTGACACCACCATCTTTTTCTTTTGTTATCTGACACCTATTTATATATATATACACCTTCTGGGGAAGGACTGCATCATTCCCAGTCCCTGTTAGCTTACATTGAACATTGCAGCAAATTAAAATATTAAAGAAAAAAATCTAGATTCATTTCTTCAGCACTACAACAGCATTTATTCATTAAACAAATGATAATTGTTAATTGTATGGGAACTGCTGAGTCACGGCCTGAACCTCTGATTGATCACCTGAGGCGAGCACTGAATCAGCCACAGGAGCACAGGTGAAGGCAATTCACCTGTGCTGCAGGAAGGGGTGGAACCTGGCTGCGCCTCTCCTAGACCCATTTAAGAGTGACTACAGGTGGGGAAGGATCTCTTCTGGAGATCCATTCTGCTGGAGTTTTGCAAGAGAGCCCAGGATGGGGTAAGCTTTCCCTCTATTCTCTTTTTGTTATCATAATCTGCTTTGCCTAATTCTCTTGTTTATTTTATAATTATAACATCTTAATATTCATTGATTATACATTAATTATGCTCGCACAAACCTAAAGAAGTGCTTATAATAAACAAGCAGTTTACTGGCAGAAACAAGAGTGTAGCATCTGCATTGCTTAATGAATTGTGATTAAATAATTTATATAGTCATATAATTGAAGACCTACATGAAACAAGGCTGGTGGAGAAAGGAAATATATTTTAATAACCTACAGGTTTGTTGAGAGAGGCTGTGGAGTCTCCTTCTATGTCCTTTCCAATCTCTGAAACTCTGTGATTTTGTGAATTACAGAAATTTTGGGTACCCAAATCCTACTATTTCACCATCCCACAACAATTGCAAATATAAATTTACTTCAGACAGACAATTTAAAAGGGTCTTTTGAATCTTCATAGTCTTTGTGCTAATTCTCTCTGCACTTTGTGGAAACTGAATGTTCTTCAGGAACAGTATACGAAGTTTTGGGTCATCTGGAGGTGATCATAAAATTAGATGACAATTTCTAGTTCCATCCCTTGATTTTAATAAGTGATAGATCATTGTGGTGTGATTTACAAATGTAAATAATAAATATTTTAAGGGTATTACCTTTTAAAATGAAAAAAAAAAAAAAGAACCATTAAGTCCAACAAAAAGTCTTTGCCACCCAATCTCAGAGAGAAAAGCTGAATAAACATACAGCTTCAGTCTTCAATGATTATCTGATCACATTGTCTAGGTTCATTTTATAGCTGAACAGGGTCCAGCTAGTGCATTAGCTATATATACTGGTTTTGTGGGAGTAAGTCCAACAAGTCTTATTGTACCATTTTCTTCTTTCATAAATTCAGATATACACATTAGAAACACTACTGCTACTTGCTTCAAAGGCATCTGTGGAAAAAAAATTGCATACATCCTCATAAAAAATAAACAACAACAGCAACAAAAACAATCCAAAAACAGAGAGAATATTGTTTACAAACTTTGCCCCTATTGAATTGTGTACTTCCCAGGAGCCAGACTAGTCTGCATTAACAGTAAACCTATCTGTTTCATGATTCTTCAGTCTCAAAGAGAACTAGAAGAGGCAAGACAAAAAGAAAACTCTAAATCTTATTCAGCTGACTCTACTTCTCAGCTTCTAGGTTACTGGAACTGAAATTCTATGAAATACAGTTCACAACATCTTTCCCTGACTCTACACTCTCTTGAAACAATACAGAAACAGTACACTTATCAGGCAGTGTCAACTGCACACAATATTAAGAATGCAACACTCTTTCTTATTGGCAGTGTAGTTACCACAAAAATTGGCATTTTCCAGAATTGCTACTATTGTAATTTAGAATCAGCATTATTCATCACACTGTCATATGGAATACTACTTCTACAGTTTTCTGAGGCCCAGCTTCACACTATGTAACTTTCTCATACAGAAATCTAGTGTACTAGCTGGCCATGGCCCATTTCACGGGAAAATGGGTGGTAGTTTAGAAATCCAGCTCTAACACAGGCTGAAATTACTCCCTCTCCTATATCCCCTACAGAGGCTGAGACCCAGTTCTGCTGTCATGAATACCTGTCTAGATTTGGGAGAAATCCAGGCTTCCTCCTTGTCTTTTAAGCTTATCTCTTATTTTTATTGTAATATACTGGGCCTTTTCTTCTTATCTGCCTACATTAAGACTCTTTAAGAGAAGAGATTCATCTCACAAAAGCTTTTCCTAGTATAAATTCACAAACAATAAACATGTCTCTGGAGCTTAGTAGGCCTGTCTGTTTTTCATCAGTGTTGAATTAGTACATAAAGGAAAATCTCCAGTCCCTTGTCTCTGTATCTATTCAATTGCAGCCTTTATAAAGTGAATCTATGAGAACTTGTTCTTTAGCAGAACTTTAGTAGTGTCCTCCGACACTTTTTGTGTTGGAAAGCTTAACGGGAATTCTAAAATTGAGTTTTAGATTAGTGCTAAAGTTCAGGCATGTTTCTGATGTCTAATGGTTGTAATTCAATTGTCAGAAGTGATAAACAGCCAATCAACTGCCAAAGATGTTTATCTGGCTATTGAAGGGAATATTCTGGAAGTTTTTGGTCTAGGGGGAAAAGGGCTTTGAAGAAAATAATCCCTTAGGCTTCTTAAAGAAAACTTGTTGGTACTGATTGAAGTGGGAAGCCTTGGTTGCAGTAGGTAAATATAATAAAATGGATTCCAACTTTCTGCTTGACAAGGGTGTATTCATTATTTCATAAGTCTAGATGTTAGGTTTGAAATTAGTCCTGAAATCAAGAAGCACATCTACCTGAGAACATCTAAATGTCACAAGACCTGCTTCTGCATTTTACATACTTGGAAGGCACAGACGAAATAGTCAGTGGTTTCCCTTGAGGGAAAGAAAAGACCAGCGAGCATGTATTTTACCTGTTTCCAGTAAAGCTGCAAAAATCAATGGAAACCAAACTCACCATGACACAAGTATTCAGAACACCATGAGTTACTCTCAACTCTAGCCTTTAAACAACTGCACTGAATATTAGTTCATTTCTATTCCTGTGAATACAGCCTACTCAAGCAATTTGCTTCAAAATAATTAAATGTGCTATGGAAAAATAGCCAAATGCAGCACTACTCCTTTTTAACAATTACACTAAAATGAATTTTTCAGATGAGATTAAAAAGAGAAACAAAGCACTTTTATTTACTACTGCTTGAAGGCTACTTGATTTGTTGACACACTGAATCAATGAAAATCATTCAAGGACATTGTATTCATCTTGGTATTTTTCTTGAAACTCACATAATGTGTTCACATGAGATTGTTTTTACCTTACATATATGAAAGAGGCACAAATGCAAAATAAAGTCATACTGATAATAGTAAGCACCAGTAGTTGACTACCACAATACTAATTTCACAGAATTCTGGCAGAATCCAGATGATCTACCATGCCAGATTAAAAAAAAAATGTTTTTTAGATGGTTACATTGTAGTTGATTATAATCATTCTGCAAATAGGAAAGTCTACACATATATGGGGGGGAAAAAAATCAGCATAATGTAATGATTAACATTACTGAAATGACAATCTCATAAGAAAGTATTAAGTAGATATTTGAGATTGATTTGTACCCATGGAGATCGTACTATCTGCTTTTAACTTACATGGTCAGTATAGTTTGTAGAAGATCATCAGACAATGGCAACTTGAAGGACTTGCAAACAGTCCTGCAGCTCTCAGAGGGTAACATTCCGCATCTACACAAACAGAAATAGACAGTGAGAGTTGTGCAGTAGGTATTTGCTAGGTTTATTTCAAGTTATTGTCAATGTGAACAGAGAAATGTGTAGGAATTGTAGGACAATAAAAATGCAGTTTATGAAATTTCAGTGTTAACACAGCTGATAAACTTGAAGTGCATGTGGTAGCTTGTATTCCTTCCCTGAGGTTCTCAGTGATTCTCTGTTATTCTTTATCTGGGATATCACAGAACAAAAAGGGCAAGTGATCCCACATCGTTGCTGTTGCTGTTGTTAAATCCCTATTTTCCTCTTTGATTTAATATACTGCTTTGCCTGTGAACAGGCATCTTATTAGGTCACTTAATACTCAGCATAGCAGCTATAGCAAAAAGTCAATGAACAAAATAAAAAGCAAACAAAAAAAGCTATCCTTTCCTTGTTTGCTGTCAAATGTTGAAAAAGGCATTACTTTAGAAAAAGTATTCTTCAACTGCAACCTATCATTTGCTTAGCAACAAACAGAAAGTAGGTAGGCTTCCAAGCAGAGTTTTCCAAATAACAGCCAAGGATATTAGAGGAAACTTACTTTTCATGGTCATTGTACGCAAGTACTACAGATAGTTGTTCAAAATTCTCAAAAGTATTTTTCTTTAGTTGTTCTTGAGCTTTTGCAAGGAGGAAGTAGTGGTCCATTTCATATTCTTCTTTCTCTCTGTAATGGCGTCCAAGAGTCATAATCTCATGCTCTGAAAACGCTCCGTCTGTGATACTGACTATCAAATTTCTGTTTACAAAAACAGCAGCCTACATTAGTTTAAGTACAGTAGTTAAGAAGTTAATAATCACTAAATTCCCATGGAAACATCTATTATAGGGCACTCATTATAAAAAGCAGTATTTATTTAAAATCTTTAAATTTGAAATCCAGGCTTGTTCAAGGAAGTTTAATGGGAAGTACTTGACATTTAACTTTTGGAAGATGTCTATGCTTCCTTTGTTGTTGGCCAAACATGAAAAAACACTTTATAAACCTGATGGAAGCCTTACCTGACAATGCTGTACTAGCATAGAACATTAGCAGAGATTATCTTTGTCACTGCGTTTGTTCAAAAATGTAGTAAGTTATACAAGGTACTATTTTGTTTCTAATTGTATTCTGCATACTGCAGTATATGATCAATTATTTGTAAATTGTCTGTAAGCACGTACAATGAGAGTTGCATAAAAGAATTAATAACAGCAGAAGAAAAGTGAGTCAGAAGACACCAACAAAGAACAGAACATTAATCAAGTGTTAAGTCACTTTCCACAATGCACTATGAAAGCTGGTCCCATTGGGTAGTATTCATGGGAAAGCTGGGGGAACGGGAACTGAAACTGGCCACAGGGAAAGGGCAGAAAATCACAGCCAATTTGTAATCACAATCTCCTGGTAAAAAAGGAACACAAGAGGCAGTAGCAAGACCAGCTGATGATTAGACACTGCCAGAGCCTACAGGGACAGCTTGAAGTGTCTTCTCACAAGGATGCTTGTGCTGCTTAGAAGAATCAGCCCAATCCAAGGAAGAAGTGTTACTGAGATCCATCTGATAGGTCAGTGCTGGCACTGAATGACTAGTTCATTCCTGTTGTTGATAATAGCATGGGAGTGATTTGGGGGTAAGCTCCTGAAAGCACTTATGGGCTTATCACTTATATAAACTATATACTAATAGTTTATAGACTACAAACTAATCACTTATCACAAATGGACACAAAATCTGGGATTAAGTTAGTTTAGTTATACATAGAAGTTGGTATACATTGGTATATATTTTTATACATATAGATTTATCTATAAAGCCTTCTAGTTTATATTACTGGGGGAGGGGTGGAGAAGGACTGCTTTTGATGATGATGAAAGCCTTGCAGCTGGGACTGTGCTGCCTTCAGAGTTTTTCCATATATCCTGGATGTTGACTCATCGTGAAGGAAGAAAAACACCAGTAGCAAGAAAATCCAGGGGACTTCTCATTTTCCAGAGAAAACTGGACTGTAGGTTACCTCTGTAGTTACAAGGCTTCTTGTCCCAAAAACCTGGATTTGTGTACCTGTACGTTGGCATTACAATTCCAAATGTCTGTCTCCAGTGAACTCACATTCAGTTGGATTTTCTTAACAGCAAGCATCAAGAAAGACTTATGTATTTCAGTCAAAATTAATTACCTATTTATGGTATTTCTGGAAAAACTGCACTGGGACTAAACTTTATCACAATGGTTGACGCAATTAGAACTGTATCTTGTGGCACTCCTGTGGGTATTGAATCATTGTGATTATATACCAGTCATTGAAATGGAAGAAATTACTAGAGATGGAGAAAGATCTGACATCAGATTCAAACTACTGGCTGAGGAACAGTTAAATTTCTTGCTGATTCTGATAATGATTCTCTTAACATCTGTACCTGAACTGAAAGCACAGAAATTCAGTACTTTACAAAACTACAAAATTTTGTTAATAAATGTAATTTTCCAGGCTTTTGCAGTCCTGTTCAAATGATGACACCTCTTCATAGAACATGCACAGCTGTTCAAAAAGGATGCTAATCACCATATAGCATCTATGTCAATTGCTGCTTTTTCATACTGTAATCAGAAACTTCTTTTATTTGCAATGGGAGGAGATAAATACAAGGAAAGGACAAAACAATCCAAACCTTATTGAGTTTATGCAAACTCAGTGACCAAAACTTGTTCCAGCTACCTATATTATCTTGTTACTATTATTATTACTCACACTGAATATAATTATCTACATTACATGCATAGTTACTACAGTTTTCTACGTATACTCAAGTATATTAGTGAGAACATGAAATAGAGGACAAAACTGCCTAGTAAGACTGGCACTCTAAATGTCTGGGCTATCAAAGCTGAATGCGGTTTTACCCATGTGAATATGAATCTGCAGACTGGATTTTTCCAGTGTTCAGCTTTTAGAATTCTTATATTTTCTCAAGGAAGTCAGTGACAATCATGTCATCAGAACCTCAGATTCAATTATTGTCTCATCTGGGAATTAAGGAATTTTCTTGTGATTACTAATGTGTGAGATCCAATATTCACATACAGAATTACATCTAAATTCTTCCTCTCAAAAAGAAAGAAGCTGCAATAATTGTTCCCACAGCTTCATTGTCTCTTCTATCACTTCTTTTTGTTCTAGAAGAGCAGGACAGATTGCAATCTAAATTTGGTAGAGAAAGAAGAAATAATTAATTGCTTAAGAGAGCTGTTTCTCAAGCTGAATTAAAGATAGACATCTTTGTTAAACCCACACGTGTCTCTGTTGCTGACAATGAACTGTCTTGCCAGTAGCTTTTGAGAAAAAGCATTCTGGTTAGGACAGCGTGGTACACAGGCTTCCAAGTTTTAGTTATTTTCTTTTCCTCTCACTCTAACAGAGTTTTTTATATTTCTAACATCAGCTTAGGCAATAGCTTCAGTATGTGACATGTATTTATCTCCTTGCGTGCCATAGGTTTGCATACTGAGAATAAAGTAAATTGTATAATCGCAGTTTTAAATGTGTAGTTTTAAATGGCTTAAAGCTTGCATAAATTCATGCAGGTAGAAATCTGAACAACAAAATGCTTTAGCTGTATTTAAGATAAGGGGATTATTATGCTGTCTGAAGCTGTCATTCAAGTAATTGCTTGTATTAAAAATAATCATTTGTAGTTAGTTTTTGTCCTGAAATGCCATGATAGATTTAAAATAACCAGTGATGCAAACAAGAAAACAGAAAATTGAAAGAGAAATACATATTCTTTTCACAGAAAAATATCTGTCACTTGTCATAGATGCAAAAAAAGCTCTCTCTTGCCTTTGTCATTAAAAAAGGTTTCTTTCCCAAAACAGATTTAAAGTAAAAACTACTACATAGTCGTCTATTTATATCCATATATACACTATTCATTATTATAAGGCACATAAGTCAAATGCTCTTTAGAGGTAAATCCTTCCTCTGGCAGTCTGATTGCCATCTCTCTGGGACCTTAGCACCTTAGCAGGAGGGATGCAGACCATTAGCAGGTGCTCAGACTCCCCTGTATGAGCAGTGAGGCTAAAGGATCATTATATGGATTCCCACTTTTTCTCTTGCTCATGGTGAAGGATTTTGCATTTCTACTGCTGAAACCAAGTGCCTCAGTACAATGTAATTTGTAATCTGCTCCATGTCACAGAACAGCACCAACTTAAATCAAACAGCTGGGCTGTAATTATATTCACTTATCTGCTTGATAAAATAAAAATAATTCCCTGCTGTTTAAAAGCAAAATCATCCCTTTTAAATCTGTGCTCCACCAATCTTGTCACGAAAATGTTCTGAAAGCTTGACCTGTTCATAGCGCATATGCAAATAATTATTTGCAAATAATTATTTCATAATTTGAATTACAACTATTTTTTACTTAAAAGTTATTAACCATATAAATTAAAATCTTTTTCATGTGCCATAAAGTTTATCCAGATGCACATTAACTTTCAATATTATCTCTTTCTTACTCTAGTAATAATATTTTCCTTCTAAATTCAGTTAGCAGTTTAAAATCTTGCCTCTGTTGAGTAAAATATCTTGGAGTCTAGAAATATTTTGACAAAAAGCTACCTATAGCTCTGGATTTCCTTAGTTTGAATCCTGCTTTTAATCACTCAGTTTTGGATGTCCAAATACCAGTTATCATTTGTCACTGCTTTCACTTCACTGGAAGAAACTTCTACATCTCTAAATGTCTTCTGAATTATTTCACAAGGAATTTTCAGCCTCAGTTACCATTTCTATAGTGATGCACGTGCAGTATGCTCATATTTTAGTTATTATGATCATTCCTAAATATATATCATCACTATGAAAACCAAAATGCTTCTAGGTAAGATCTTTGTTCCACACCGCTAACTTTACCAGTATGCAACACAGTTCATGAGCTCAAGTGTTACGTGGAATGAACTGAAATCAGCTTGCATTTGGACATTATTTCCCCTTCAAAGTAACTATATATGCTTGTTCATTGCCACATCCTGATCATTACCAGAGCCCAAATTTCCACTCGCTCTGATATTGCTGAAATTACTATGCAAGTGTTAAGTACTGCTCTCACAACTGCTTTCCAGTTTTTGAAAGATGCTTTTCACTGATCCAGTAACTTTAGTACACTTTGGTTCTGTGTAGACTACCCTCTTCATCAGTAATTTAAAACGTTAATAACACCATTTTCAGAAGGCATAAATTACTGAATTTGTGAACTATTAATTCATTTGTTTGACTATCTCAGGTTAGATTTATCTCTCAGTAAATATTTTATTTTTTAATAATTACTGCTTTATCGCACTTCTTCATAGTAGCCAGATCCATGAAAAGCAGGCAGAATTTAGTAGAGTTTTTCAGCTTACTTGAAGCTATCTCATTTCTCTTTTTCCAAGGCATGGACTCACTATCTTTTTTCCCCACAAACTCTTGAAGTAAACGTGAAGAAACATACACCATTTGTCAGCTAATATGTGCAGAAAGCATTAAGAAATATTAATACTCTATATATTTGGGGGGAATGTGCCTTCATTAAATATTAAAAATGAAAACCCATTGTCTCACCTGAAAGGGTCATACTCTATCACCTTGGTATGCTGAGGGTCAGCAGCTGCAAACACCTGTCTGATTTCTCGGGAACGAGGTTCAGCTATATCTTTCAGTTTCTTGAAGATGAAACCAGTATCAGCCACAGCGAACTTAACAAAGGAAAGCAAGACATACATTAGAGAGAAAGGCACTATGCAACTCATGTACCAGCAAGAATTGTGAAGATGCAGAACAATTCTGAGCTGCTAGCTTCTTCATTGCTTCATTTCAAATGTGTAAATCTGCAAGGTTTGGAGGGAAGGTTGCTACCGGAAAAAAAAAAACCAAAAAATTATTGAGAATATAAAACAAAAATAATAAAAATCATCTGCTCATGAACTGTCAGAAAGCTTATTCCAGATACATGAAAGGACATCCACTTTTGCTTCAAGGACTGAGTTGTTAAAACAGATGCAGAAATATTCAAAGTACAGCTCTAATATCTTCGTCCTCATTTTCTGCTGTGCATTTCACTTAGTTTTCTATTAATGAACTTCAGCAATCCAAAGCTAAGTCATTGGCTACAATGTACCGTTCCAACAGATATTCTCATTCATATCAGACTGACTATGCTTTACAAACTCAGAATTACCAGACTGGAAATTGGTTAGGAAACAATTTTCTTATCACATAACAAGAATGCTTATTTCTTCCTAAATAAGTGATTAAAATAAAACTGAATTCACATAAACAGCACTGGTGCATTTAGGATTCTACCCTATATTCAGACTGCTGTGTTAGAACTCTACCAAGATTTATTTGCTATGCTCATTTTTACCATTGATGTCTATGTGTTTGGTCATTAATCTGGGGCAGAGTCAATTGAATCAATCGGTACAGTATTTAAAGATGGGTAAAGTTTCCTGTCTGCTTAAAAAATGCCATATCTACACAGAGAAAGCAGTTGTTTTTACAACTTCTTCCTAAACTATATATTGCAAACACCTAGGTATAAACAGCTGGTATGTGAGCAGCCTGGTACTCTTTACCCACTTTCCCAACTTCTCATGCAATTGCTGACCTTCTGATGTCACAGCATCGTTTTGTTTCATTTCTTGCTAATGCCCATGTCAGAGTTTATTATGTTGAATTCAATGGAAGCAAAATCAACCTTCATGTCTGTACTACAGAAGACTATGAAGTTAATACAGAAGACTATGAAGTTAAGACAATTGAGACCGTTCAGAGTTGATGAATAAATTTCTAAGATGAAACAGCAATGCCTTGCTTGAAAGAATCCTCTTCGAATCTGGATAGTACCAGTCAATGATAGAGCAATACACAAATATTTCATTTGGAAGTAAGATTAGTCTAAACACGTCTTTCTTTCTCAAACTGGAAAACAAACTACATGTATTAAAATGTTCTGAAAATTAGATCCTTCAAGTTACTTTCATTACTGGCTATCATCACAATGAAAAGATTCATTGATTTTTTTTCACCCTCTCCTTTAAATACAACAAATTTTGAAACAGAAAATCAACGGCATTTTTCAAAAGGCAAACATTCCACCCAGATTTGTTTTCACTAGTTTTCAGAAAAGATTCCAAAGTGTTGTGCTGAAAAGAAACCTCTTTCTATAAAGAAGGAAAAAGGTTTTCTAATTTTAGAAACAATTGACAAATATTAATCTTAAAAATGTTCCCCTTACTTCTAATCATCTTCTGTCTCCTCTCTAACAACTGTTCAAAGTCTTGTGGTTTGAATATATAGTTCCTTCATCAACTGAGCTAAGTGTATCCTTACTTCTGGACCTCTTGCCAAAGGAGGTGAATAAAACATCTATCATTGGAGAATAAACCTTTCTTTTTTCCTACCAGTAAGAAATCTTCACCTTGCAAAGAACATTTTAAAAAGTAGTACTTTTAATACTGTTTCTTCCCATTTAGTAGATTTTATTTTGATGATGTAAAATCATTCAGTCTGGAAAACTAAGATTGCATTTATTTGTTTCAAGATAATCAATGCAAACAGCAGTTCCAAAGAACATTTACAACCTAATGATGCATGATGCATTTTGGAGAACAGCTTTGATTTTTATTCTACTAAGAGAACAAACAGTCCAGCAGTAAGAAAACACAATGTATATAGCTTTGTATTTTATTGCTTAAAGCATTTAGCAGTCATAACATTTTATATCAACAAGCATTTGCAGACATTCCTCATTGCTCTAGGGAAGGCAGGTGGTGCTAATTCCGCATTGCAAAGAAACCACACCGTTCTGCCATTTTCAATCAAGAACAGCACACGTGGCCCAAAGGCAGTACAGGGTCAGATTGCATCTATCTCTACCTCAACAGCAGAAGGATATCAAGGATGAAACTCTCAGTCCTTAAGACTATGCTAGGGCTACTGACATCTTGAGAGCCTTGCAGGTTCACTCAACTGTGGTGAGCCGGCAGACAGGGAACAACTGAACTCTGCACAGAGAGCCCTCTCCCACCCCTGTTCTGAAAAGGTCTGGACCAAAAGGCAGAGAACGGTGTCTCGTACCTTGATAAGCACTCCTGGATATTCTCCCCAGTCATGCTCTCAACAAGACTAAGCAATGGGCAGTTCTGGAAGCTTGCTGTAGGCACTGTTCACACTGTGACCCCACCATCACTCATGAAGCATAGACACAACCCCAAGGCCACACAGTACATTGTCCAAAGGGCAATACTCAAGATTACATAGTGATGAAAAAACAAGCCTAAAAAGGGGCTGGGGATGCAGAAATGTCTTGCCTTCTGAGCTCATGCACTGTTAAGATTGTCTGGTTTAGAACTGCTCCCAATAAGAATTCCCAAGTAAATCATGGTTGTCTTTTTTTCCCCCCAAGTATTTTAGCAAAGTTCATTATTTTTTTTTCAATCAGGTGAAAATAAAACTCCACAGAACTCACTGTGACTCTTCTTTCTTGTGGTTTTCCACCCCTGTATCCTTTTTTTTTTTTTTTTTTTTTTTAACCTCAGAGACAATTGCTAGAGGACAATCGATTTTTCTTCCTATTGAATGTGTTTTTGGCTTTTCTTTACCAGTCATCTCTGTGATGACTGGTAGCATAAAGTACACATAAACAGAAGCACTCCAGTTCTCTACTTATTACTGCTATCCCCTCAGAAGGTAACATCAAAAGGTAGTGACACTCAGTACAGACTGTAAGCCCCAAATCCTTTCTGTGATACAAATTTATAATTTTGAAAGCAATGTATTTTGTGAAATAAATATGTATGAACACATATAAATCCAATCAGGCAATAAAATAGCCTCACCAGTCAGATTCTACCCTAGATATGGCTGCGTCTCGAGTGCTGTATACAGTTCCACTCTCTACATCTCACAGTTGCCTGGCAAGGGCACACTAAAAGCAATGGAACCTTTCTTTGGATGAGACTCTTATTCTGACAGAATTAGGTTTAGTAGAAAGAAAGTCTTAGATTTACAACAACACGAGGTGCTACATAAGGGGAAGGAAATCTTCACCAAACCCCAAAACACTAGGACTTGCATTGAATGTAGTAGTGAGTTAGTTTATAACAAGTAAAAGATGCTTATTCCTTCTAATAGGTACTTATTTGCACAAAAGACAATGAACCTTTTAATTTACTGCCACACAAAGCTGTGGAAGCAAATAATATCTGTAGGTTCAAAAGGAATTAGAGCAACTCAAAGGCAAGAGGTTGATAAACAGTATCTAGAATAAATATACAGAGATACTGTATTAAGGGTGGTTTTAAAGTGTAAGCATAGGTGGTGAAAACGTGGAAGGGGAATGGACAGTAGATAGTATCCAGGTTTGCATGCTGTCCCTCGCTAGCATCTCCTAAATTCAATGGTAGAAGCAGAGCACTGGGTTCTGAACTTTAGGTGAAGAAATTAGGCATAACTTATTCTGAAAAACACAATATAGATAAGATACAGCCAACAGAGAATAACAAGAGCCTGCTTCACCTCATTTGCATGCTTCTCCATATAGTTGATAGTGTACTCATCAGCATCCACCAAAAGAAAGTTGTGGCCATGGAAACAAACTCTGGCTCCAATAAACAGATCCTGAGCCTTGAAGTATTCAGATGGTTCACTCTTAAAGAGCTCCTGCCCAGGCTTTTTAATGCGACTTCTTTCCAAGAACTTCCCACCAAGTATCCCTATGGAAATAAAATTGTAAAGAATTAATTGTGACTTTGATTTGGAGGAAAAAAATAAACATGATAACAAAAACCAAAACACAAAAAGGAACTAAAAAACCTCTCCAAGTCAGACAGTTTGTATTTAAATATTAGTTTTCATCCCCAGGTTTCTTGTCTCAAATTATGCTCTCCCTCCTCCCTCTCATTTCTAAAGGAAAGATCTCTGCTGGTGTCCACAGCAACAGTTACACTGTTCATATTCTGTGATATGTCCCATCTGAATGCCTGCCAAACACCTTCACTTTTTTCTTTTTCCTAAATTGTGAGAGAAATTTGCCTCTTCAGATGGTTCCCATAACCCTGTTGCCAGCCTTGGGACTGACCGTGAGAAATGTAAGATGCAAAATGCAAGATGCAGGCAATTATCCTTGAATTGTTAAAGTGGAAAAGAAAAAAAAGCAGAAAAAAGAAAAATCCGCAACTTGGGATAAAGCAGTCCTACTGAGATCACAAAGTTTGTTCCACTGCACTTCTAACTTGTTTTTAAGGCAGTTTTGAGTACAAAAAAAAGCAGAAATGAAGTGACAATCTTTCACATACTGTTCTGCCAATGCAACTTAACTCCTTTCTGAACTGGATATGTCACATTATTTCTTTTCACATTATAATGATTTTACTCTCGCCACTGAGCGCTGCCCATATTGCCCAAGGGTATGTAAGGTATTAAAAAGAATATTTGTCTTTCTATTAACACTCTCTAGTGCACTACAAGATTACATCACATTTACCGGTCTTTCTAGAAAACAGTCTGTCACATTTACTTTCATCAGGATTTGTGCCCTACAACAATCCTGGAGTGGCTCAGGTTTGCTTCCTGTTTATATCTCAGCTTCTAAGCCAAAAGCCAAAAAGCATACTTCAGTAACATTTAATGATGCTTTATATATTAGGTAGTGATGCAAGTTCAACAAAAGGCTGATGAACAGTGTAATAAAATGCCATTTATAGTCAAAATTATAAATGAATGTGAAATCCAAACTACTTACTAAACCAGAGTTCAGATCAGATGTCTTACTTAATTGCTTTACTCATACCATTAAAGCAAAAGACAAAAAATGCACTAAGGTAATGGTCAGGTCTAGTTTAAATTGAAAACAAACAAACAAAAAATTAAAATTACTAATGTAACTCTAATCTTAACACGTTCCTTTTCATTTAGCTATTAAAACAAATATGAAATGTTATGTTATATAATCCTGGCAACCATTGATAATATTCAAACAAAACTGATCACTGTAAGAATGAAATTTTACTCTTGCCTTTGTATTTCTACCTAATTGTGCATCTAGATTGGACACTTACCTCAATACCTCTGTTTGATAACTTGTTTTTAAATGTTATGTGTTAGTACATTTCAAATGGTGTGAAAAACAACAACTAAAAACACTTAATTAGGCTAGAAATTTTACACTGAAACTTGATGAGAAAATTTGATGGAAATCTACAAGAATCAGGTTCAGAGCACAAAACAAACACCACAACCAAAGATCCTCTTCCATTAAGATCAGATCAGGCTTTGTACGTGTTTGTACAGCTGCTAGCTTGGTCTAGAGCAAAAAAGGGGTTGTGATCTCCTGCACGAGGAGCCAAAGTTTTTATGTTTTGACCCCCATCTCAAAAAAGTGCTTCAAGATGTCCAGCCCTGTGTATTTCAAGTACAGTTTCACAGTTTTACTAAATAGCATAAAGTACTTCTCTGCACCCTTCAGATCACTGAACTTAGAGGAGTAACTTCAATATTTCGGTCTTAGGATTGAAGTTTGAAACATATTTGTTTGCCAATTTATACTAATCCAGGCAAACAAAACAGGAAAATATGCCCTTTGAACCTACGCACAGGGGATATAGTCAAGCTGTTATTCTGGGAACCATTTACCATTTTAACTCCTCTCTCTAAGATGTGCTCAGCCCTACTCTACTCACACCCCATTCACTTCAACAACACTTTTCCTCCTCACACAAGAATGTTCATCTCACTCCTTATTTGCATGCCTTACCCTTTTTCCTTGCATCTCATAACTGACCTCTGCAAAGCCTTCTCATTCTTAACCTCAAGGAAACCTGGTCTCTTTTCCTTCAGATATGACTAAAATGAGGGAGAGACAGAGGGAGAGAAGAGAAAGATAGAAAGAATAAAGGAAGAAAGTGGGAACAAAGAAAATTCTGCAGTCTCAGCCTTCTTTCCAACTTCTGCTGTCGCCTTAATCTTCTTATCTTGTTCTCACCAAACTCTCCAGTGGTCAGACCTTGGCCACATCCTCCCACTTCATCTTTCTACTGTCTCTTTAAAAAAGCTATTTGATTGATACTGATACTTGTCTTCTTTGGGTACCTTAAAACATTTGTTTCTGTCGGTATGCAAACTTGTTCATTTATTGTTTCACACTCCATTTGACTACCAATATTTAATGGCTGTAAACCTACCATATCTGAAGGAGTGTGGAGTTAAGCATCCTCCAGAAGGGGCCCTCAGCTCTCTGAGGCCACATCTAGTCGGAATAGTTCAAAGGAGAACCAGGCAATTCAGATGATTGGGATCAAAGATTCAATCTGTTTCCCAGACTTCTTTAATGATGCAGCTATAAACTTATCATCCTTTGTGTCTCCAGACATAAGCAAGCCAATCAAACGTGTCATTCTCCAGTACAGAACTGAGCTGCTCAAGCTTCACAGCAGTATTACATAACAAATCCACATATATATGTATACTCAACTGTATAAAAGAAGTTGCATACATTACAAGCCACTGGATGGCAGAAAACTAGTAAAGTAATACTGACAGGACACTGCTGCCATAAAGATCCTTATGCTGCACTTATGCAAGGCTACCTGAGAAAGATCACTGAAGACAAGGCAGGTGCTCTCTATATTTTCAAAATACTCCTGAGGAAAAAAAAAAAGTGCTTGCATTCAAGTGGAGGATGGAGTCTCTATATTTACGCATTCATAATACAGTTTGATGCAGGCACAGATGCCATCAGAAGTTCTTTGCAATGAGAAGGCTCACATCTTCCCTAAGTCATGTGGAATGCTCTACTCAGATGAAAGGCACTCTAAATAACTTAGCACCACTGCCACAGAAAGAATTCTCTAGGAATAAAGAATGATTTAGATATTCACATCTTCATTTTTCATGGATGTGATGTTCATCACAATTCTATTATGAATTAATATAAGAAATAATTTTCTCTGAAGGCTTACAAGTAAGGTTGCAAGAATGAGCAGACCTCCCTGAGAAAGCCTTTACTGTAGACAGGTAGCTTTACCACTCACAGTACCAAGTAGGTCAGTACTAAGTGAGATGGTCATCACTGCGGAGCATACCTGGGATGCTGTATTAAGGCTCTTTGTGTCAAAAAGGCTGTATAGGACAATTCAAACAGTATCAAAAGAGCTAGGGTTCTACAAGAGCCTCACAAGATAACTAAGAAAAACTTCTGTAACTATTTCACTCTCTTCTTTGAGACAATGTGATCTTCTGACTTTTTTTCTCCCAATGGTTTTCATTGGAGGCTGACAGCAGGTTTTTTAAAGTAAGTCCTTTAATGGCACATCTTGAGAGGTGCCAGGGTACTCCAGGATGTTAACAAATACAATGCCACTGCTACAGATGTCCTGTAGTCTTCCCTCAAAAACACTAATCTCTCCAGCAGGAGTCCACATAGCCAAACCTCCTCTGCCCTTTTGAGTTACAGGATGACTTCCTGCAGTCCTTCCCAGTACTGTGCCACATGCACATGTACACATGCACACATGTGCTAATAGCACAGGAAAACCTTCACTCTTTGGATGGTCAACATGACATGATTAATAATAATGTATTACTAATAATGTAAAGTTGTCACAGGTTCCTCTGCCTTCATTAGCTGTTTTGATATAAAGGATATTATGTAGGTATAACAACACCATAACTCCTTGCAAAATGAAGAATTTACTCTTTCATTCTCAGCGTCTTAATTTTCCTGCCCCCTTTTGCCAGCAATTACAGTTCAATTCCTGTATGTTATCTACAAGAAAAGCATATGCTTAAAGGCCAAATTTTCAAATTAAAATGTAATAAAAGTTCAAATGCATTAAACTTCCCCAATTCCCAGAAGATACTGTGAAGTGCTGCCATAGAATGAACAGCACTATTCTGAATGATGAAAATTATAAATTATTATGACATACAGCTAGGTAACATAATGCAATAGATCTGCTGATGTATTTCCCATTGCACTTAAAATGCCCCATCCCCGCTTCTGCTAGCGCTGAGTCTGGCCACAACGTCTACTGTAAACTGAAATCAAATGAGCAGAGTGACTGGGACTGATTGCAAAACATTGCTACATCTTACCTGTGTTCCGCTGTGTATGTTCAAAAACAGAAATAGTATCATCACTCAGGAAGTAACAAATAATGAATTTCCGATCCTTGTCAATAGGATTTTCAGTAGCAAGTTTCGCAAGAAAGCGCAGTGTGTTACTTTCAAGACCACATCTAAAAAAGTTAAAGAAGATGTAAAAAACAGAGTGAGAAAAAAGTCTTATTCACTTAGAGATGCGTTCTCCAATGTTTCGTAAAATACATTAATTGTGTTTTTCCGGGATCAAGAAGGGAAAGGCCATAAAGTTACCTACTTCTCCAAAAAATTATTTTCAGCTTAAATTAATTCAACCAACCAGACTCAGTCAGATAGAAAAGAATTATTTTCAGGGAAAATTACTTCTCTGCCAAAGCTATGAAATGAATTTGTATTCAAATTTAGTTACAAATGAATTGCTTGCTTTCTTTCCAGATGCAAATGAAACTTACTTTCCAGAGCATTTATAGACAGAAAATGTATTCAATGTATTTTCAAATCAAATTCTGAATGGTAAGACACACTAATATCATTTCCATGAAATCAGGCCTACCAAATAATCTTTCTAGTTTGATATTTGTTAAGTCATTGTTTTACATGATTTACAGTACCATTAAATGCACTACCAAGTCTTTTCTAATAGTTTTCTTCTTCTGTGTAGGTTTTACAGGTAGTTACTGGTTCTCTAGCATGCCACCTTGCTTTTCACTAAGGTCTCACCAACCATTGTCTGACAAGGTATTTCATAATGGAAAGTAAAGGATTTATGCTTTAATATTGCAGTAGCAAGCTGTGTGAAAATCAGCAGGCAAAAAAGAAAATGTTCGAAAGTCAAACATAAAAATAAATCAGTGTTGGACTGCTGAAGCATTCAGAATTCCTGACCAGTTCCTGGTCTGTGACTTCCATCACACTGACACTGAACACAGCAGAAGGGAATGAGGGAGAAGTATGGGAGGGGCAGAAATTTTGCTGAGTTTAGAGAAAATTGAGTTCTGTGTCAATAAACCATTCCCCTAAAAGTTGGATAAACTGCATATTTTGCCAAAAATTACATTCCCATTTAACGTCCATTGCCTTCACAGGAGAAATAATAACAAAAAAAGGTTGTAATTATTTTTCACCAGAATACCTGTCTTTTTCCATGAATTTCTTGATATCTTTTTGGGGAGGCTTGGGAAGCAAACTCATGCAGGAGCACAGGGAATCCTCTTCAGAACCAAATCCAGTATATGGTGGAATAGGTTTTTCTGCTTTTGGAGGTGATGGAGCTTTATATGGAACTGGGGTGAAATCCTCTATAATAAAGACAGCAATGTTTATTTGTTTTTTTTTTTTTCTGATGAAGCCACTCTACTAAGGATTTAAAATTTCAATATGAATACTAATTTGCCTATTTCTGTAACAGAGCAGTAATCAAAGTGAAATAGGATCCCTCCTATCATAGAAGAGTAAAAAAAAGACACCATTGAAGCTAATAGTGAAATTATCGTTTCTTCAAGGATGGCAGAATTTTGTCTGTGATCCCAAAACTTTTTACAAAAATCACTAAGATACACAAGCAAAAGAAATGACAAATATAGTTTTGAAGTGGAATAGAAAAATAAATGTAAAATTGTAAGTTAAAATTTCAGTTTTATCCCGTGAGAGCACATCAATAATTAATACTTGCATACCCATGTTTATCCCAAGGAGAAAATAAATAAAGAAGGAATAAAATTTTACACATTTTTATATATCATACCTGAGAAGAATTTTAAAAGTTTATGTCCATTTTGGTACACTGAAACCGATAGCTTTAGTCTGTATCTCAACTTCATCCAGAGTTTTGGAAGATTTTTCTCCTTTTCCCCACTCTCAGGGCTGTGTCCAGCTGGGACATGAAACACATCAGGATGGAGCCTGTGCAACCTGCCTTGGGCCCCACTGACCTCAGGAGGGAAAGTTTTTCCCAGTATTCACTCTGACCACTCTGGTTTCCACTTATCCCCATTGTCTTCCTGCCACATACTTGTATATCAGGCTGCTTGGTCTCAGCAGTGGGTAGGTGCAAGTGTCTGTCTGTGCCCAGCAGCCACCTGTTCCCTTGGCTGAGCAATCCTGATCCTCTGGCTCATTCTCCACGCTGACCTTGGCCAAACCTTGTATTTCCCATACTGGCCAACCCAAATGAGAACACAGCACCTCAATGCAGCCCAAAACATGCTGAGCAGAGGGAGGACAGTCATTCCCATTGATGTTCAGGTAGCTGTTTTCATGCCACCCATTCTGTCATTGGCCACCACAGCTGTGGCCTCATGCCCAGCTTGCTGCCCAAAGCAACTCAAAGGGCCCTTCCTCTCTCAGCATGAGCGAAATGGGAAGGTTGAAGAGCTTGCTGCAGCCCAGCCAGCTCAGCACAGCCCAAGTGGAGTTGTGCCACCTCCACACCTTGGTTGGCCAGAGACATGTCCCTAGGAATCTAGAGCTGGCCAGGCTACCAAGTGTAGGACAAACACATGAGGCAGACTAGGCAGAAAGATGGATCACAATCCACAGCCAATTTACAGGAAGTGAAGAGTTATGTAAGTGACCAGAGTGTGTAAGACTTCACCAAACAAAATAAAGTTTGTCTCTTCAAAACTTAACTTCTCTACCCAGAACTGAAGAGAGATGAATCATCTAGACTTGTAGCTTAGTTTTCAGCACAAGTAGAGGGCAACAATAAAACTGGTGTCACCTGGAACATTTTCTGAAGTGGTTTGTTATTAAAATGTTTTAAACAGCAGTATATCAGAAGATCAAAGCAACTTACCCTCTTAAAGTCTAACATGCCTAACAACAGCACGGAGTTGAAAAATACAGAGAGAATTCAGATGCCAAAGTTCTTCTTTACCTTGAAAATACAACACTATTTCCTCTGGCCTTTATCTCTTACAAGAATATGGTCTAACTGAAAGCACCAGTACCTTCCTCTTCTCTCAAAAAGAGAGTTGCAAAACCACTCCAACTTTTTTTTTTCCCCATAAAAACTGTGTGTGCCCTTTCCATAGTTCAGAAATACAAGTATTACTTCGGATAGAATTGCTTCTCAAGACATTTTCAATGTGCCATGTTATATAGTATAATATATGCAGCTCCCATTGCAACAAACACTATGTAGGTAAATTGACATATATTGACACAAAAAGAAAACCCCCATACCCAGAGGTATTGATTCTGTATTCTGAGCTGGTGCATGTTGAGTTACTACGTGTCTACCCCTTTAGTTGCCAACAGAGAAAGAACTGACGCTTTCCTAATACAGGTTTTTCTTCTGCTTTGGGAACGGGTACAAAAACCCGAATCCTCAATTAATATCGTTCCTGCACTCCAACAGTGCCACCTAGTGCGTGTGAGGCAGATGGGACGGAGAGAGCCTTGCAATGTCATTCCTTCTCTGATCGTACGGCATTAAGGCAGCAGCCGCTGCTGAAACTACTTCTGCAAGGCACTACAGCAATTTTAATATGTTTCGATGCAAACAAAAGGCAAATGGCTTTCAGCCGTGTGTTGAAGTGGAGCTGATCCTTTATCACGTCTTACGTCTCATCACACAGTTGCTGCAGGTGGTACAACTTGCTCTCCTGCACAGTCTGTTAGCTAGGTTCTTCCAACTAAGGGTCATAATATTACTTAGAAATCTTAACAGCATTTTTTGTTATGCACTGTGCTCAGCTTCGGTACTATTTTCCTCATCAAAGGAAAGATGTTTTTAACAATGCATTTTAGCAGAAAAAAGCCTTCCTCACTGCACAGCTTTACCTAACATCCCTCCTGCCAAAACAATTTGGAAAGCCGGGACATACAGTTGAAATTGTAAGCTCAAAATACAAACTAATGCATTTACATGCAGGTCACATTATATGTGCATTAACACTGCATAAGGTATCCATCAAGAAATGATAAAGCATTTTCATTTGCATGTATTTTAGCACATACTGGTGAACATTAGATTTATAAACTGGAAGGAAAATACATTTAAGAGGAATTAGCATTAGTTGCAGAGAGTATATTAAATACCTCAGGCTCTGGGCAGCCTGGTCTGGTGGTTGGCGACCTTGCACATAGCAGAGGGATTGAAACTAGGTGATCACTATGATCCTTTTCAACTCAGGCCATTCTATGACTTCACAACTCAAGCTTGGGGTTTAAGTCCAAAGACAAATTTGGTGCTTTGTTTCTCAGCTGCTCCCCAACGTAATATGCCTTTCCTTCATCCAGATTCACTAAAGAAAACAACGCAAACAACCAACTTTCTGCCACCTATGTTTGCATGATTTTAAAGGATTATGCATTCAGATTCTCTCCTCTGAACAAGGAAATTCATAAAGAGTTTTGCATAGAGGATCGCTAATGTGCAAACTAGCTAAAAACTTGTCTTCAACTTTTGAGCAGCCAAGTAAGTGCACTGAACTAACAGCTATGCCTAGGTTCCAAATTGTTTTCATCTTTGCTCTACCATGCACCGTTAGGGTAGCAACAGACAGACAATTTGCACTCACACATAGAACACACCCCTTTCAAAGTTACCACTGTTTCTAAAGAAAAATATTTATGCTCATTCTAGAAAAGGAATCAATGTTTTTCTCTTCTACTCAATGTGAATTTACAGTAGGTAGTGAGTAAGCTGAAAGTCGTGGGCTACAAATTTCTAGATCCAGAAAAAGTAGTAGAAGTATTTTCTTCATGGACAGTCTCACCTCTTTGTAGTACATCAGTTGATACCCAGCAGGAGATGGGCTGCCGCTGTGGTGTTTATTTCACCTGCCACATCAAACATTCGCAATGTACTAGGAAAGTTTTCTCATTACATCAAAACTTAAGAGAGATTGGAACAAGCACTGGGAACAGCAAGAACTAAAAACAAATCCAGCCACTTCTTTAGCATACAAACAATTTGAAGATGACAGAGCCTTCTGAGTCAGAGAAAATAAATTCCTCAAAAATGATTTGTTGCCAAAGGCAGCATTAAGCTTGCTTGAATGAGAATTTGCCCACTTTCAGTTTCAAAAGATACAGTGAGACCATGATATACATTCTAAGTATACCTTCAGCACTCAGCTGATGAACTGTAGGAAAACTCTCACACATTAGAGAGAAAAAGATATTTCAAAGAAAAGCCAAGTGATTTAAACTCTGGATTAGAGCAATAAGAATGTTGAATACCAGTAATTAGCAGGCAGGCAAGAAATTCTACCTTTGGAGGAACAGGGCATGCACCTTTGACTATAACAGCCCAGAATAAGAGAGAGAAATCCCAATAGCTTAGGACAATAGAAGAGTTGGAGTTAACCTGGAAAGGAGAATGTTGCTAACATGATGTTCTTTCTATATGAGTTCTACCTTACATATAGCTGAGATTTGGCTTTTGTGAGAGTGTTTCACAACTTAGGTAAAAGGCACAACAAGAAAGCAATACCATCATCTTCCTAACTTTTATGTGCAGCAATTAAAGCAAATCCAGTCTTCCCAACATCAGCTGTGCAGCTAAAACTCAGCACTGTTTTGATTCCAATAAAATCTGCTTTCAGAAAGTCCTACTTCGTGATCACTCCAGCTACCTGAGGAAAAAAAAAAAAAGGCATCTGCAAATGCATGTAGTCCTCTCTGTGCATATTTTGATCCCGCTGCTCAGCTTCAACCACATTTAATGGAGAGGTTAAAAGTCAGAGAGATTTTGATCTCCAATGAGTTCAGTAAAAATTGGCAGCAGGCTTTAATGCCCCCACCGAGGGAGAAGCAAGAAGTCAGCTGTTATCCAACAGCAGCTGCCTGGCCAAAAGCACGCATGTACTGGCCAGCCAACCACACTGCACACTGCTCTGCCCAGGCAGCAGGTCAGAGAGGGAGCCTGAGAAATGAGGGGGTGGGAGGGCGAGGAGAGCCGGGACATGAGAGGGATCACGAGGTGCTGCAAAAGGCGTAGCAGGCTTGGGAGGTGCTGAAACATCGAATAAAAATCAAGAGGAAACCAGATTTTACTGGTTTTGTTCCTTCAGGAACAATCTGTTATTTAAGAAAGGACAATTTATACTGAAATCCACCCTTTATACTCAACTCTGTGCTGAGATATACCGTATTTAATTAGAAGAACAAGTATCATCTTCCTACCACTGCACATCAGTATCTTTCACATTTCAGCCCCCTAAATGTTGCAGTAATACATGGTGCAGAACATTTTTGTCCTTCTCTGCAGCTTCACTAGCAAACAGTGACAGATAATATCACACTAAGGTTTTTTTCTTGAATTCACAGCATTGTTACACGGCAGTGATGTTATCAGCTTCCTACTGAAGAGCATTAGCTATTGTTTACCCATGGAAAAGCTCTACTTCACTTTTCACGAATGGTATGAAGAGCAAAACAGACAGAAGCAACATTGGAAATACATCAGATATCATAATCACACGCTTCTAAGCAAATCTAAACTACCCTTAATTCACCTGAAGGGCAAATTCCATTGGAAAACAACTGATGCTGGAACTGCACATTCAAAAATAAATGTCAGCCTCTTTCATGGCGTTAGCAGAAGAGTATAAATACAAGGGGAGTAATGTAAAAACACAATAACAAACAGCTGGATTGATGCCGTGAGGTGCTGAGAACTGTGCCTTGAAGAAGAACTCATTTCTCCACTTGTTTACTATCATTCAGCTAAATGGTCTCCCTGGGTTCAACCTATAATTAAACACATTTCAGTGGGTTAAATGGATTGGGGCAGAATGCTGGGCATTTTGTGAGACAACGTCCTTTGAGATTACCTTGTATGTTCACAAAAACAAAATCGATAACACATGAAGAATAAAAGATGAGACCTTTCTCCCTCAAAATAACTGTTTCTAAGCCAAAAAACTACCCTGAGGCTAATCTTAGCCCTTTATAGCTAAAAAAAAAAACAAAAAAAAACCCAAAAAACCATACATACACTTTTTCTAACCACCAAGGTTGGAAAATACCTCTAAGAACATCCAATCCAACCATCCACCTAATATTTCCCACTAAACTGTGTTCCTCTGTACAACATCTCAACATTTCTTGAACACCTCCAGGGTTCCAAGACCCCAAACAGCCTGTTCCAGTGTCTGACTGCTCTCTTGGAGAAGTATTTCCTAACATCCAAACTGAATCTCCCTTGACGCAACTTGAGGCCATTCCCTCCCATCCTATCTCAAGTTACACGGGAGAAGAGGCTGACCCCCATCTAACCACAGCCACCCTTCAGGTACCTGGAGAGAGCAATAAGGTCACCTCTGACCAGGACAGGTCCCAATACCAATCCCCAGGGAACACCACTTGTGATTGGTGGCCAGCTGGATTTAACTCCATTCACCACCCCTCTCTGGCCCCAGTCACCCAACCAGCTCTTTACCCAGCAAAGAGCGTATATATCCAAGCCACAGGCTGACAACTAATTCAGGAGAATACTGTGGTTGACATTGTCAAAGACTTGCTGAAGTCAAGGTAGACTACGTCAACAGTCTTTCCCTCATCAACCAGGTGGGTCACTTGATCATAGAAGGAGATCAGGTTGGTCAAGCAGGACCTGCTTTTCATGAAACATCTGCTGGTTGGGCCTGATCCTTTGGTTGTCCTGCACATGCAGTGGGATCTCCCTCAAGATGACCTGCTCTTGGCATAAGGATTGGGCTGACAGGCCTGTAGTTCCCTAGATCCTCCTTATGATCCTTTTCATAGAAGGGAGCCACATTGTCAAGCCTACAATCCTCTGGGATCTGTCCAGTTGAGCAGGAACACTGATAGATGGTGGAAAGCAGCTTGGCTATCACCTTTGCCAGTTGCCCCAGTACTCGTGGGCGGATCCTACTCTGCAGCATGGATTTGTGGCAGTCCAGGTGGAGCAGTAGGTCTCTAACTATTTCCACCTGAATTGTGGAGGTTTCTTCTGCTCCCCATCCAAGACTTCCAGGTCAGGAGGTAGAGTACCTTGAGGATAACTGGTCTGACTTTTAAAGACAGACATAAAGAAGGCATTGGGAAACTCAGCCTTTCCCTTTCTCCTCAGTGGTCACGATCTGCACTGCATCCAGCAAAGGATGGAGATTCTCTTTAGCCCTCCTCTTACTGTTAATATATTTGTAAAAAAGTTTTTTGTTCTCTTTTACCCCAATGGCCAAGTTGAATTCAAGCTGGGCTTTTGCCTTTCCAATTTTCTCCCTGCACATCATAACTTCTTCATACTCTCCTTGAATTGCTCATCCTTTCTTCTATAGGAGGAAGACTCCATTTTTCCCCTGGAGCCTCAGGAAAAGGTCCCTGTTCATCCACATTGGTCTTCTTCCCCACTGGCTTATCTAGAGGCACAGTGGAACAGCCTGCTCCTGTGCCTTTCAGACTTCATGAGAGGCAGTCAGCCTTCCTGGACCCCTTTACCCTTTAGGACTGAATCCCAAGGGACTCTCCCTACCAGCATGCTGAATAGTTCCAAAGTCTGCCCTCCAGAAGTCCAAGGTAGCAGGTTTGCTTGTCCCCATGTTAACATCATCAAGGATTGAAAACAAAGGTAAAGCAAAAAAGTTATTGTCCGTTTACACAAACCAGTTTCAGAGAAGCTATTAAACAATATTTCTAACTATGCATTTACGACAAGATACCTTAAGAGGCAGGTAAATTTCTTCCGAAGGATGTTAGAGAAAGGCTAAACAAGCATCAGGCATTGACAGTCCCATGAATACACACTCAGAACAAAGGGAAAGGACCACATTACCTACAGTCTCAATTTTCTGCAACTTTTCACCTCTTCAACGTCTAACTTTATTTAACTTCTAGAGTAAATAACATCCAGAAACATAACCAGTAATTACTGAGCCAGTATTATAGGAGACTTTGCCCTTACATAACACTTGGTAGCACTGCTTGGTTGCCTCAGAATGGACAGCTGCACTTTATTTATCTCTCATCTGCAAATAAGAAATCCTCATTCACTGTTCCAAGATATCCTGCTCAGACAGAGAGGACACTGCTGCCAAACAGAGGCAGCAATCTTGGCTGAAAAAATTATGAGGGAAATACCCCGTTTTCCATCTCTGGAGCTAGACTCACTGTTATTATAAATAATAGTGTGGTTATTGAATATGGCTTCCTTACACACTGGCCAGTATAAGAAAAGATTTATTTTGGCACAGATATTCCAAACTATTATTTTAAAAGCTCTAATGAGGCATGTTTTGCCAACTAAGAAATTTAGCAGCATAGTGGCAGAGGGAATTAAATAATTCCCTCAATGCAGCAAACAGGTTTTGATCTAAACACTGCATTCTGATTACAAGTCAAGATTAAAAAAAAAATAGTCTGCCCAAATATTTTTTTCTCCATGTAAGAAAGGCCATACTAGGATTCTTTCAATCATATCTGAACAGTCAAGACACTCAGATGTATTTCTTGAATGAATAAACTGCCAGAAATCAACGAAGTTATTTTTGCAGGATGATGGCTATAATAGAACCACTAGCAAGTCAGACTGAGAGAATTCAGGCAGATAAATGAAACACTCTCTTGTTATATATGTCCAAAATGCTTTTCCATAATGAGTATAGTTGATAAATGTTTCCAGAATTCAGTAATGAAATCTCACAGGATAAATACTCTAACGATTCACAATACACAAAACTACACTGTAAAAACAGTAACGTGATAGACTACTGTTGTGTCAGAAAACCTTATTAAATGAGGATTCTAACATCATACAGAGTGAAACATAGTGTAAAGAGGAATAATTGAGCCTGCTCTACATACTGCATGCCCTTTATTACCTTCTGACTGCAAACATGGCTATAGGAACGGGAGGGAGAAGTAGAAATGACAGTCTACCCATATGACTATTTTGTCATTCTAGTTTAAAAATGAAGGCAGTTAGAAACTGATCATGGACATTATGTGCTGCTTTTCAGTGGAGTAACACACAGAAATGACCTTCTGGGTCACCTGTAAAGTTACCGATTCCCTGCTAACAGCAATTGATTGTTATTGCAAAAGGCTTTAATGAACATGTTTTGTCAGTAATAAAATTTGAAGACAGCTCTGTCAAACTCGGAGGTGTAAAAACGCTGGTAAGGAAATGATAATTATCACTACTTACCAATTCCATATTTTGTCCTGTAATAATCTTTAGTGAATTCATCACAATCACACAGCATTATCTGCCTTCCCCAAACATTAATTACTGCCCCTATTTTCAGGTCGCTGTCTCTGTAAAATTCCTGATGCACTGCTCCTGTCTAATAAAATAGGGAACATTTATACAGTAGCTCTATGAATCTTAGTGTCATACAATCTTTCCTACAAAGTAGGTCATTAAGTATGCATGACTTAAACTACAATCTTCATACTTCATCTGCAAGTAGTTTTCAGCCCATGCTATGCTACCTCACTTTCACAAACATAAATTTCATAGTAAATTTCAGTATTTTTGATATGAGCTATTCTCTAGCTACAATACAATTTTACAAAGAACTTCTCTCTCTGTACCATATAATCAGAGAAATTACAAAAACTGCTATAAGGATATTCAACAGCTGGGGGCATTCAGTAATATCTGACCTTACGATTGTCCAGAATGTAACGGCCTCTATTTCCTACTAAATTTCCAAATACATTGAGAACAGTGCGACTGGTGATTGTGCCTGGCTGATACAAACCAGTTGGAGCATACTGCAAGAAAAGAGACAGGGTGTTAAGAAATACACTTAACAAAGAAGAAAGACAATTCTTACCTTAGAAGTAAAAGCATATTTATTTATTTTTCAGCCTGTTATAACAGTGTTGTCTTGGGAGAATTTTCAATAAATTCTAAGGTAATTTTATGCCACTGAACTGAAAACCCAATGTCTACATCAGAAGAAGCATTCAGAATCTTACTGTGCATCCAAGAGTGAAGCCTTCTTTTTCTTGGAAGCACTGGGAAAGAAAAGATTAGCAGCATATCCTTGTCAACATCTGCTCTAAAGGCTATTATTTTGAGCAGTAATAATAAAAAAAAAAAGCAGGCAAAAGAACCACTCAGGGCTGGTCCTACTAAGTTGAGCACTGCACAGAAAGATGGGATTCAAGTCAGTATGACTCTATTGAGAGAAATATTATTTTTGTTTATACCATAAAATCACAGAATCATTTGAGTTGAAGGGACCTTTAAAGGTAATCTAGTTTAATTTATCTGCAATGAAGAGGAGAGTATTATTGTAAGTTTCAAAGTCATAAGAGTAATTAATGCAATTAATATCCCAATAATATCAAACTTAATATGCAAATCAGCAAAATGCCAATGCAGGCTAACTAAAGTACATTATTTTGTTATAGCACCTTCCCTGATATTCCAACTTTTGGCTGCTATTCTTCTCCACACTGTCACTTAAATTAGAGAAAAAAGCCAGCCTTTAACATTGACACACACTTCACTACTAGAAGGGGTCTGCCAGCATAGTGTCATTGCTAAATTAGCAGCTCAGAATGCAGGATGCTCTAGGTGAGAACAGCAAGTATTTTGCTGTTAGTATTTTACTACAAAAATCTCTTGTAAAACTGTAGTGCAACAGATAAATTAAAAGTATTAGGACAGGAGGGAAGAAACACCTCAGTGTTTTACTTCATCTGTAGGTTGATTTTGTTCTACCACCAGGATCTGCCTGAAGTGACACAGAAGTGTAGCCAGGTTGTTAACTTTATCATCATAATAGGTTATGCAGGACATTACTCAAATCCTTGAAGATTTATCTGAGATTAATTTCCTCTAATAAACACCTGATTAATGCCTACATTTTTTCATGGATTCTGATTGATTTTAACTAGCTTTTTATAAGATCTCAAATCTGTGAATTCGAACTTAAGAATTCACTATAGATATGCTACAGAGATAGAATTGACTGAGTACCAGAACTGGATTTTTTCAAAGGTTCCAAGTATAATCCATACAAATCAAAGGTGAATTTACCTCAGTGTTAGTTTATCTGAATTTCCTTTACAGCATGGATTTATATATGAATTTATGTTAATACAATAATCTGCGAGAAAGAAAACCATAGGATATCTCTCTACCTAAATTCTCTCTCCTTTAAACTTAGGAGTGACAAGCCGAAACTTAATTTTCCAATCTCTTGAAGTTGTATGAATCAGTATTCAAAAAAATCCTAAATGCCTAATAATTCTGATTTAGGCTCTGATAATATGTTCTAAATGTCATTACAATTGCAAGGCAAAAATTCCACAGCATCAAAGTCATAGACGTTAGAAGAGACCCCGAGGTTATCTAGCCCACACCCCCGAAGCAGATTCCCTGGAGCACGCCGCAAAACAATGCATGTAATATTCTTTATTAGCAAAAGAATTTCAAATAGAATAAATTTTCCATTCCTTACCTTTGGAAGCTTATCTCTTCTGAGAAAAAGTGGAACTACATCCCGGCCTGAGTTTACCGGTATAACTTCTTTTATATCAATAGTATCATCAGACAAATAATAGTGCAGAACGAGCTCCCGTGGGTCATGAAACAGGGATTCTGGATCATCCCACACGCAATAAAAGCGTAAAACATGCCCATCATGCTCCAGAAATTGTTTCAAAGTGTCAATGCGCTCATAAGGGCGCAATGGGTTCATGCTATCTAGGATCTGCAAGTGAAGGAGAAATAAAGAAAATCATCTTTTTAATGACTTGCTTCTAAGACAGAATACCAAACTTCATGGTACCACCTAACATTAGAGTATGCTTCTTGGACTTTTGAATAACACCACACAATTTAAATAAATGAAACGCTATTTACAAAAGAAAAGTATTAAGGAAGAAGTGCCTTCAGGAAAAAAAAAGAAAACACAACAACCAAGAGCAATTTCAAATTGCTTTTGACCTTTGTTTCACTTACAGAAAGGTCCTTGAGATGAAGAAAGCAATAAATTATTTATTGCGCAGAGTATTTGCTGCCTTCAGAGCACTGGGGTGGATTTACCACAGCATGCTATCTATTGTGGGCCAACAGTCCTAACAAGTCAGAAGAGAAAATCCGTGCCATCTCAGAAAGACACTGTCATTATCTCCTAATGGAAACAACACTCCCACTACCATGCCCAGAGAAAAGACCCCAAGTCCTGCAAAGAGGAATCCATATAACATTTAGGAGCTAAAAACCTGAAATTTTTGGAGGATGCCACACACGCTCTGGGGAAAAACAAAGAAACAAACAAACAACAACAAACAGCTTTCAAATGAAAGCTCACAAGTGATAAAGCTGCAGACTGGTGGATTCTATGTGGCAGAAGAGTTTGTTCCACACATTCAAAAAAAGATGACATCTGAAGACACCAATAAAGTGAGTCTGCAGGAAGCCAAAGATGTAGTTGGAATTGCAATTCAAGCACATCTTCCTTTAAACACTTTTTAAGTGTTGTCATTCAGTCAACTCAAGAAAAAATTAAGTAGAACATAATAGCTGCTTTTTTTTTTTTTTGATTTAATACTGTTTGTACTTTCAGCAGCTGACACTGACAAATACAGTCAAAAAAGGAGCAAACATCTGCTCATTTAAATTAATTTAGCATCCTAATTTATCCCTTTAGTTCAGAGATAACTGTGCTTGTACCTCCCTGGTTTCAAGTGGCTAGAGCGTACCATTCCCACCCTACATCTTTTAATTATGTAATGAGCACTCCTGAGGAGTTTGTTCAAAAGAGATCACAGAGTCTGATGCACTTACAGAAATGACAATTACATGCACAGAAAATGTACTACTGCAGTTTTTATTTTCAATAGACATTGTGAAAATAAATATTGTTATTCCAGGTCAAAGAACAACTCTGTGATGCTTTTTCTGTAATACGTAGCATTTATTTTCACCAATCCACCAACCAATATTTACAGAGAAAAGTCATTTATCTGTACTAGACATCAAGTACAACATGAAAATCCATGACAGTGCTATTCCTAATCAATACTGCTAGTTAAAGTTTGAGGCCATATGAAAAAGCAGACAGCAGCATTGATTCTAATAAACCTGATTCATGTATGTAAGGCTGCAAATATGTTATGTAGATGGTAAATTTAACATTGTTTATCTACTTCACACATAACTTAAGGAGAATTCTCATTCGACATATTTGAGTGCTTTTTTTTTTTTTTTTTTGCCATGAGAGATAAGTTTTACACCAGTTTTATCAAGATAATGCCCACACACACAAAAGGCAAAGATTTGATCCCATTTTTTTTTTTTTTTTCAAAAGATATGTGAACACATCAGGAGAAAACTATGTTAGTACAATGAGCCATATAGTCAAATTTTAAAAGGCAAGTTCTCTCTTGTGATTCATTATGTTGAAATAGGTACATTATTTGCTCAGAGAAATATTTTGCATCATACATATTACTAATAGAAATTGCACTTCGATTAAAATCACGTATTCACTTTTACTGCTTCATCTGACCTTTTGCCGCTCTTTGGTATATGGGTCATCTGGACAATTTCCTGGAGGATTTAATTTAAATCCCATCTTCCTCAAGAAATTTTTTGTGAACTGGTCACAATCTATAATCTTGTATCTTCGAGCATAAAAGATTACTTCAGTGTTGATATTGAAATGATCTATAGTATAGAACTGATCTTCATTAGGAGATGGAAGTGGAATCCGATGACGTCGAACAATAGTTCCTGTAAAAGAATTAAAATAAATTCAAAGAGTGAACATCCTTTTCTCTGTGGATCATTTCATAGATATGCTAATTTCCAATACTGATACAACCAAAGCAGATGAAACTATATGGGGGGGGGGGGGGGAGGGGTAAGTTAAAAAAAAAAAACCAAAGCAAAAAAAAAAAAAAATGAAGTTTTTTAAAA